GGGCGGCTGGGGATCACAAACCCTGCGACAGGCTTTCAACTGGAAGTGACTCCTCAAAATGTCACACTGAGCCCCAGCTCGGGTGGGCCCGTGTTCTCCTGGAGAGACCAGGCTGTGCTGCGGCAGGACGGGTAACGAGGCCAGGCCTGGGTGGGAAGGGGTCGTGCTGAAGACCCACAGCTCCCGCAGGCCCTGTACCGGCGGGTCAGAGCCTGGGGGCTGCCCCGCCCTCCATTCCCCGGGCTCCTGGGCACATGCCCAGCCTGGATGCCCTGAATTCCATTCCGTCTCCGCCAAGCAAAACAAAGCTAGCTCGTCATCCCAGACCCAGCTCGTACGGCTTCTCTGAAGCCCTCTCCTCTCTTGCTCTGCTGAACCCGAGTTCTCTGGGCTTCTCTCTGAGCACCTTGTCTCATGCTTGCTCCTTCCTTTGGTCATCTGTTTATTTAACAAACTGTCGAGCACCAGAGCCTGATTCTGGGCAGCAGAGCCCAGTCCAGAGGTGCAAGACATAGTGAGGAGTGGAAATCAGAGGTCACAGACTCTGATAACAGACTGGCTAGAATCTAAGACTCGGATCCACTGCTTACCAGCTGTGTGACATTGGGCAAGTAATTGGCCACTCTGACGTAACTCTCCTGGTCCTGGTCATAAGAGAGAGGTCTCAGAGGACGGGGACAGCTCAGTGGAGAGGGATGCACGGTGGCCACTCCTGTCCTGACAGCCACCTGGCTCTGCAGGACAGTGCTGACCATCAACAAGAAGAAGAATCTGGTGGTGTCCATGGATGACAGCGCCACCTTTGAGGTTGTCCTGCACCGAGTATGGAGGGGGAGCGCTGTCCACCAGGATTTCCTGGGCTTCTATGTGCTGGATAGTCGCTGGATGTCGCCCCGGACACATGGGCTGCTGGGTATGGCTGGCTGGGCAGCAGAGCTGTGGTTCGGGGTGTTGAAGCCAATGCGCTCATGGGTTCTGGGGCACCAAGGCAGGCTACTCTCCAGTGTGGCTGCCGAGATTCAGAGGTCTGAGATGGCTTGACCCGGTGAGGGTCTTGTACCTTCAAAGTGCTGTGGTCAAACACAAACAAAAACGGGTACAAGGAGAGGTCCAGTTAGCAGACAAAAGGTCCAGAGGGTTTCCAGAGACCTTGGGATGGGAGGGCACAGCCACACTGCTCCTACATGGCCTTTCTGCTGGTTCCGTTCTCTGTTGGGCACCAAAACCTCCAACCTTTCTCTCCAACCCGATCCTTTCAGAACTGGTTAAAAACCAGTCCCACCTCTCAATAGACATGTCCCTACAGCAAGTGAACTAAGGTGGCTTTTGATGCCAAGGCTTATCAGAAACACTCAAGCTCTTGAAAAGAGCCATTCAAGAAACTGGCTCAGGCCCCAGTGAGCACTTGCTGAATTCGAGGCAGGAGCAGTCCCCGACAGTAACTTCTGCCTCTCTCGTGCCTTTCTAGGACAATTCTTCCACCCCTTTGACTTTGAAGTGTCCGACGTCCACCCAGGCTCTGACCCCACAAAGCCAGATGCCACACTGGTGATGAAGAACCGCAGGCTGACAGTCACCAGGTGGGTGGGCTGCTCTCCAGTGTCTTTGTCCACGGTGCTGTCTGTTCCCCATTGTTGGCTCAGACCTTTCTCCAGGTGTCACGCGGGTATGGTGTGCTTCCTGGGAAGGCATAGCCTTGCCACCTCCGACAAGTAACCTCAGCCGACTTATCTGTCCCCAGGGGCTTGCAAAAAGACTACAGGAAGGACCCCCGGATTGGGGCAGAGGTGTCCTGCTGGTTTGTCCACAACAATGGAGCTGGACTGATCGATGGCATTCACACTGACTACATCGTCCCTGACATCTTCTGAACCCTCCAGCTGGCACACCAGACTTCCCTTGGGACATGGCAGAGGAGGAGGGCACCTGCCTGACCAAGCTGGATCCTTATGTCAAAGCCCCCTGTGACTTCCATTAAAGGGAGGCTATGCCCGGAACTGGCTGCTTTTTGGGAAAGAGGATGGCAAGGAGGCAGCTGAAGACGCTGCCCCTCAGGAGGGCTTGGGGGTCACAGCCAACCCAAAGCTGGGAGAAGCAGGCGGGGAGGGCAGCCCAAGCCAATGCTTCCCCTACACCCTACACTGCGAATCTCTGAAGCTTCCTGGCCCCAGGCCCTCTGAGTCCCCTGAGTGCCCTCTGAACACGACTCCCCACTCAGGCCAGGGACCATTGGTACTCTGGCGGCATGCACAGTCATGGTGACCCAGAGCTTCCTGTAGCCAGGCTCTCACCCAGTATTTCACATGAATTCTCTAAACGTATGCTCCCGATAGGCCTATGGGATACTTTTAGTATACTCATCTCCAGCTGAAGAGATTAAGTAATCTGTCCTCAGTGGCAGAGTCAGGATTTGAACCCTTGCTGTTGACATCAAGCATCTGTCCTATATGAATATTCTAGTCAGCAGATGGCCAAAACCTACTGGGACTCAGTTCTGGATAACTCACAATGAGCATACGAAACAATGATTTCTAGACAGTCTTGGGGTCCTGAAGAAGTCCTCAAGGAACAGGAAGCTGAACCACTGGCATCAGGGCCTCTACTTCAGCCCACTTCTATGCTGGGGTGGCCATCTCTGATGACCAAGCTGGTACTTCTCAAAGGCAGAGACAACCACTGCCAAACCCAGGGTTCCAGGGCCCCAGGAACCACAGCCATGGTATCCTCACACCGAAGTCTAGAATTACCTCACTAGGGTGCCTTCCCTTGGTTTGGTCTTGACCCAGTTACAGTATGACATCACTGTGTGCAGACTCTGGGGAGCCACTGAGCCTTTGTATAAAGGTGTGTGCACCTCCATCCACTCTGTTCCTGAGTTTCTGTTTTCTTCTCTGCTGACTTCTGTCCAGTTCCCACTACAGATAAGGCCCATGAGGGCTCAGTCAGCATGGGGACTGGTTCTGGGAACCCAGATGATAAACACAAATACGGAGCTCCATGGTGCCCAGGTCTGAGAACGCAGAGCCCCTCCCAATCAGGCTGTGCTTGGCCAGTGGAGGGTCAGAGGTCACTCACCTTCCAAGGTGTGCTGGGCCTTGCAAGGGTGAGCCTGGATTGCAAGTTGGCTGCAGTGGCCTGGACAACGCCTTGCCCAGCTGGGGTCTCATCTTCACTTTCTGTAAAATGGAAACGGGGTAGATCAGGAGTTCTCTTATAATTCTAAATTCTGCACAGTGACTCTGGTTCCCTCTAAGACCCTAGCTATCTATCCCTTGGGTCTCTTAAGCATCCTCAGATTCCTTATTTTGAGTTGTCCCTCTCACAAAACTCCAAATGTTTGGGGAAGAGACAGTGGTTGATGAAAGAGACTGTGGGGACCTCTGCAGGCAGCTGTGGGGCTATGAGAAGACACTGGGCCATAGTGACACAGGACAACAGGCCCACCTCAAACCCAACCATCATGGCAGTAGAGATCACAGGTGCTGAAAAAGAACAGAAGTCCCCAGATCCAGCAAACAAGAGGCCCACTGCCCCTCTGAGGGGTCTTCTCTCCACTTCCAGACGTCAGTGGCTGCTGGGTTCGGTCTCTGCTGGCCAGAGCTTGGCACCCGATGCCAGTAGAGCGGCATCAGATTCAGGAAGCTTGAGGAGAGCAAGTGCTGCCTAGTTGGGCCTTAGGCAGAGGTTATTGCCCCCCGGAAGCGCATCTGTCCTCTGCCATCATTTCACGGACTTCACAACTCTGTCATTGCTCTGTGGTTATTGCCACTTCCAATCATGTGTCCATACCCTTCCTTTGGCATCCTCCACCTCATTCCTTCTGCTTTCTACTTTCTCTCTCTTCCCTGCTCCTAGCTCTCTCTGTACACATCATTGTCAGGCTCAGAGTGTGCAGCTGAGGCTATGGGTCCATCCATAAGTTAGCTTTCCTAGGCCATGTGTCTTTGTCTACTCTACACCGCAGTGGGTCACATGGGAGGGTTACTGGGGCAGCACTGCTGAGAGAAGCCATGGGCATAGTGGGCATATGGCAAGCCTCTCTGAGGGGCTGGGGACTGACAGGGCCTTGGTGTGTCTTAGGAGACCTCAGGTCTCACTAGAAGGGTCTCAGTCCTCATTCAGGGGCTCTGGCTTCTGAAGCTTCCATTGTCCTGGATGCCAGATCCCTAGCCTCACAGGTGACACTTAGGGGAACGACTGAGGTCAGCCAAGTCCCTGGCCAGACCCTGGAAGGACAGGGTTACATCCAGGCCCTAGGAGGGATGTTACATCCAAGGTTGTACCCGTGCAGGATACTTCCTGCATTCAGAGGGGACCATCAGACCTGAGCACACAAACTTTAATATAATGCCAAGACAAGCCCTCGGGGAATTTGGAGTGTGGGGCAGGGTTGTCCTATAGGCCATTAGAGGAAGAGGGCAGAAGGCTCCTGGAGAAGGGGTCCCCAGAATGGTAGAGAGGTGAGAGATGCCATGCACAGCAAAGAGAGGGCACGTCAGTGTGGGGACAGTAAGTTGGAGCCATATCCCAAAGAGTGGGCTAGGCTGCAGGACTTAAGGTTTAACCTTTTTCTGAGGTCCTGGGAGCCAGGGAAGGGTAAAGAGCACAAGGCTCAGGTGTAGAGGTCCAAGCCTGAGGGTGATGGTCTATTTTTGCGCCCTGGGTAACTTGAGAAAGGAGGGGCTGTGATCCAGGGGCTGGAGCAGCACTGTTTGAGTGGTAAGGACAAAAGGCAATGATGCAAGATGCCTCCTGCTCTCTGGGAAACCCCATCTCCATCACCCACACCAGGGAAGCCCAGGGCCCCCTTGTCCACATACAGCTTCTATTCTCCATGGCCCCTGCCTGGCAGGAGAGAAGCCCTAATACAGCTGACTGCCCCCACTGGGCCTTTCCGGACAAACACACCCACACCTAGCTTCCCAGAAAGCTGCCCACATCTGTGCCAGCCCTTTCTGTGGGTCACTGACCCTGCTTGGGAAACACTGGGCTAATATAAAGAGGACTGGCCAGGCCTGTGTGCTCAGCAATGGCATCTGCTTGGTGGCCCTGCCTCGCACTGGCTTTGTTCTCCAGCTTGGCAGCCTCTTTCGGTCCAAGAAGAATCCCCCGGCTAGGGGTGAGTCTGCCCCCTTTTACCATCAGAGCACTGGGCGGGGGGGTCAAACAGGGAGAAGACACCGTGCTAGGCGGTCCTCTGAGTGGGGTGAAGAGGCAGAGGAATGGAATGGGCATTGCACTGCTGGACAGTGCGAGACACCGGGTGAACTAGGGCCCAGCCAAAGCCTATTCTAGCCTGCTCTGTAACCCTTAGCAACATTGGGCAACACACCATGAACTTCTTGATTCAGTGAGGTTTGAAGGCTGAAGTCTTAGGTGCAGAGGTCTCTACAGAATTCAGAGCTGACCCCTATGGGCTGTGGGTGGAGGTGGGGTGTTCTGGGAAGAGGCCTGCGGGGCTGGGCTAGGGAAAGCAGAACGAGAACCAGAAGGAGCTGGGGTTTGTGGGCTGCAAAGAGAGCTCTGGGTGTAGTTTTCCCTTTTCTGTTTGCTGGGTAACCTGGAGACCTGTCCCTTTCTGGACCTCAGTGTCTTCACCTATTCAAGAATCCTTCCACCCTGGCATGTGGCCTGGGAGGATCTTGTGTCCGGAGGTCCCTCACAGTTAGGTGGTGGGGGCACTGCTGAGGCCTGGGCCCAGCCCAGAACCTTCCCAGGCCATGTTGGCCTTACCTTTGACCTGATCTCTCTGTTTGTCTTTGTTTTGCAGAAACGGAGCCTCCCAGAAGGGGTGAGAACTTTCACTGGGGCAGGATCCAGGTGGGGCTTGGCAGGAGACAGCTGCTTCCCCAACTGCTGGAGGTTCGAGCCACAATGGCAGGTCACACCGCTGGCAAACAGCTTGTGGCCTGCTGTCCCACGGAGCTGTGGCCCTCCAGGCTGTGGGGAGGCTGCTCAGGAGGACCCCATCAGTCATCCCTTCCTCCCACAAACACTTGCCCATACTTGCTGACACCTGGCCCTGTGAATGGGGCTGGGAGAAAATAGTGGTGTGGCTTCATCACCCTCACAAAGCACCTTTATACCCCCGTGTAAGCAGAGGTCTCCCTACAGCCTCCCTCAGTCCATTACTACCCTTGAGACAGAAAGAAGTGCTTGTTTGGGAAACTGAGCCAACCAATAGCAAGGGACACAGGAGGCAGGCTGGGGTGTACTAGGGGAGAAGAGAACTTGCCATGAGAGAGAAGATGCCAGGAAGAGCTGGGGCAGAGCTCGGGGTGAGCAGAAGCTCAGGATGAGCAGAGGAGTCAGGACTCTCCTCGAGACGTTTGGGGCCAGAGGGAAGACCACACTCTGATGGGGAGCTGTGGGAAGGCTGTCAGATCTGGGATTTTACAAGCTCTCACTGGCTGTGGCTGCACGTAAACAGATTTCAGAGTTAACGAGACTGAGCAAACATCAGCACCATCGTGGTCAACCGGATGTGGGGACAGGCACACTGCTCAGCCTTCCAGTGGGGTGACCAAGAAGACCGAGGGGCTGCTTACCAGGAACGAGCCTCAGAACCTGCAAGGAAGTGTTGGGAGGGAGCAGCCGGGCCAGAGACCTGGTTCCTGGGTGCCACCCTCTGACTGGTCACCACCTCTGATCTCAGCACATCTCTCCCACAGTTGGTCGATGGCATTGAGGTCTACAGTACCAAGATCAACAGCAAGGTGACCTCCCGCTTTGCTCACAACGTCATCACCACGAGGGCTGTCAACCATGCAGAGGAGGCCAAGGAAATTTTCTTTGACGCGGAGCTGCCCAAGACAGGCTTCATCACCAACTTCACCTTGTGGGCGCCACCATGGCTGTTGGCACTGAGCTCAGGAGGGGGATCTGGTCTAGGGTGACATCTCTTATATCCCCCTCCTCCAAACTCTATTTTGCTGCAGGACCATCGATGGTGTCACCTACCCTGGGAACATCAAGGAGAAGGAAGTCGCCAAGAAGCAGTATGAAAAGGCTGTGTCCCAAGGCAAGACAGCTGGCTTGGTCAAGTAAGTGTGGACCAGAGGGCTTGAGAACATCTGGGCTGCCGAGGCCTGCGGAGATGCAAACAGCAGCTATGACTATTGGTATAGCTAAATGTGCCCATAACGTCTGCACTATCTCACTTTAGGTCGAGGCAACAGAGGCTCAGAATGGTCAGGCTGGAACCTGAGCCCAGGGCTGGGTGGGCACATGCAGTCTTTGGGGCAGGCACTCTCTCATACCCTGTCTAGGGCCTCCGGGAGGAAGTTGGAGAAATTCACAGTCTCTGTCAACGTGGCTGCGGGCAGTAAGGTCACCTTTGAGCTAACTTACGAGGAGCTGCTAAAGAGGAACAAGGGCAAGTATGAGATGTACCTCAAGATCCAGCCCAAGCAACTGGTCAAACACTTCGAGGTAACTGACTACGCCTGCTTCCCTGGTGGGACTTCCTGTAGCTGTGGGGAAAGGCCCACAGACCAGAGTTCAGGGCGGAGTCAGAGAAGCAGGAGTGCAGGCCTCATCCGTGGCTAGGGAGCATAGAGGAATTACAGCACCTCTGGCTACAGCATCTAGTACCGCAACCCAGGTTTGGTGCTGGGCCCTCAGGGCAACACCACAAAGTGCCTCCCTGAGGCTTGTGACTGTGTACAAAGGCATTTTACTTACACCAAAGCTGAAAGCTGAAGGAAACATTTCAGCAGTGGGACACGTGGCAGAGCGGAGGACCCTTCGGGCTGAGGCCCCTTCCACAGCCCCTATGGTCACTTTCCTGTGGGAGACACCAGCCTCTGTCTTCAGGAGTGGACCCATTTCATTCTGTCTGGCCTTGTCCCAGAGGGGCCTCTATGCTGTCACCGAGTGACTTCACCTTCCTTTGGCCATTTCAGATCGATGTGCACATCTTTGAGCCCCAGGGCATCAGCACACTGGATGCTGAGGCTTCGTTCATCACCAACGACCTCCTGGGCAGCGCCCTCACCAAGTCCTTCTCAGGGCAAAAGGTGCTGTAGATGCCTCTCGGGCCTGAGTTCAGGGGCAGGAACTCTGGCCCCCGCAGGACAAACCTGTGGTCTGGGGCCTGCTGATGCACATGGGAGGGTGGCCAGGGGACGGTCACTCCACAGCCATCTTTGTCCTTGGCCACCTGGGTAAGGAGTGAGGATGCTGGAGGCAGGGGCGGCTGATGACATCACAGAGGAATTAGGGTCTCAACTCTACTGGGGCAGCAGAGACAAGGGAACTCAGGTTCAGCCTCATTCTACCCAAGTGGACAGGGCGGGTGTTACTGCCCCTCTTTATAGACAAAGAGACTGAGGCCAGATCTGCTGACTTCACACTGAAGGGGAAAGATGAAAGGGAACCTCACTGTTAGTGATGGGTAGTTGGCTCCAGTCCCCCAAACCCCCAGCTATCCCAGAAACCCTACTGACGTGGGCAGTGACTGAAAAAATATGTCCATAAACAGCAAGCCTCAGACCTCCAGGGTGAACACCAAGAGCACATAGTCAGAGAGCTGCTGGGTCTGCAGGGCAGCATTCCTGAGGGTGGTGCCGGGGAGGGGCCCCTACTCCTCCCTTCTCCCTCCCCACCACACCCAGCACGCAAAGCCACACAATGTGAAGCTTTCTTACACCTGAAGTAGCTTTCTGGTGCTGAGCTTCAAGCTAGGTTGAGCTGAGAGTGTGAGGATCCAGGCAAAAGGGAGAGAGGTTCTCAGAAAAATGCAGCGTGGGGGAAGCTGTGCCCACTGGGACCTGGCATCTCGCAGCACACCCATCCTCCAGCTCCTGCCGGTCTCTGCCCTTACAAGGGCTCCAAGTGGGGGCTCGTTGGGCGGTCTGCCAGTGGGCAGGCCTGGCTAATCCTCCATCTCTGACCCTCAGGGCCATGTGTCCTTCAAGCCCAGCTTGGATCAACAGCGCTCGTGCCCAACCTGTACAGACTCCCTCCTCAATGGGGACTTCACTGTCACTTACGATGTGAACAGAGAATCTCCAGGCGATGTGCAGGTACCTGCCAGTGGCTCCGCTGGGCTGGCCCACTCCCCTTAATGCTGGGGAGAGGCTGGTGACAGAGGGGATCCAGCCGCACCGGGTGCCATCTCCTTCCATCTTCAGCCCTAGGTTGAGTCTACTCACATGACACAGGCCAGCTGATGGCTCAGAGTCCTTGCAGAGTATCTCCTAGAAAACAGGAGAGGGACACATTTTGCTTGCGTGGAAAATGCCTGGCTTCTACCTGCAAGGGGAGCCAATGTGGTGCTCTAAAGTGACACTGGCTTCTGTCTCTCTCCCCACTTTCCAGATAGTCAATGGTTATTTCGTGCACTTCTTCGCACCTCAAGGCCTTCCAGTGGTGCCAAAGAATGTGGTCTTTGTGATTGATGTCAGCGGCTCCATGTCTGGTCGGAAAATACAGCAGGTTTGATCTCATCTCTCTCAGCACAGGGACAGGGCAGGGTGGTGGGGAAAAGTGTGAGTAGGGAGAGACTTTTAAAAGTGGGAAACGCTGCTTTTTCTGTTGAAAGAGGACTCGATCCTCTGTTCACCTTTGGGGAGATCCTCAGGCAGTGCTCACCTGGTGAGGGTGAGGGCTCCCTTCCAGCCTGGGCCAGGCAGTGACCTTACCTGCCACTGCTTCCATCTGAGCTCCTTGTCTGCTTGTCCCACTCTTCCTCAGACAAGGGATGCCCTTCTCAAAATTCTGGAGGACGTGAAAAAGGATGACTACCTGAATTTCATCCTGTTCTCTGGGTATGTGACCACTTGGAAGGATCAACTAGTTCAAGCCACCCCTGAGAACCTCCAGGAGGCCAAGACATTTGTGAAGAGCATTCGTGACCAAGGATGTAAGAGCACAGGGGACAGCAGATGCACAGCCCACCAGCTTCTCCCCCTTCTCTGATCAGCCCATGTCCCTGCTGCCTTGGGGCAGAGCCTCTGCTGATCTTTGCTGGCATAGAGGCGGGCTTGGCTGCCTTTGGCCTGAAGACAGGGTTTCAGGTGTCTTCTCTGTGGTGGAGGGAAAGGTACTCTTTCTGTTTCTGACCCATGAGCCTGATGCCCTGCTAATCCCAGCAAGATAAATCCACAGAGAACTCTTCTTCTTGGTGGGAGACTTCACTGTCTGTGGAATATCATAAATGGCATCTATACTGCTCCCTTCTTTCAGCTAGAGGGGCCTTGAGTCCATCTGACTGTTTTCTAAATTGCCTTTATAATCACCACACGTCTTTTTATCCTCATAAAGGAGTAAATCACTGATTCAGTCAGTCAGTATCCACGGAGCACCACCACATATGAGAGACTGGGTTCTTGGCACATGAGCAGGGTCTACTTTCCTGACCTCCTCCACTTGTTTCCTGTAACCTGGCATCCCTAGCACAGCTTCTCATGGTGCTATCTGTGTCACAGCAACCAATATCAATGACGCACTGCTGAGGGCCATCCATATGCTGAACAAGGCCCAGGAGGAGCACAGAGTCCCTGAGAGGAGCACCTCCATCATCATCATGCTGACCGATGGGGACGCCAATACTGGTGAGGGCCTGGCCGGGTGGCTCCGACCCAGGGTGAGGCCTGCTGTCCCCTTGGCTCTGCAGCAACCTTTCCGCAAGACTTCGGGCAGCTCTTCCCAGGGAAAATCTCCAACTTCCCCACAGTATGTGAGCCGCTTGAAGGCTGGGCCTGCCTTCTCCTGTCAGGGTGGCTATGGCACTAACAGCTCTGCATGTGTAGGAATCACGCATCTCCAGATAAAGCCAGGGCAGAGGGGTTCCAGGGCCATGGCTACAGCACGAACGCCCTTTCTGCAGGTGAGAGCAGACCCGAAAAGATCCGAGAAAATGTGCGGAACGCCATCGAAGGCAAGTTCTCCTTGTATAACCTGGGCTTCGGCAGGAATCTGGATTACAGTTTCTTGGAGAGTATGGCTCTGGAGAATCAAGGACTCGCCCGGCGCATTTATGAAGACTCGGATGCTGACCTGCAGTTGCAGGTATGCCTGGTTTTGCACACTTCCAAGAATGATGGTGCTCATTACTCCCTCAGGTAGCCATTCCACTGCAGGACAATTTCAGGCATTAGAAAGAGCTTCCTTTTGGATTGAAGTCTACCATCAATAGCACCTGTTTCTTACCCATCAATAATGGTTCCTATTTTGTCTCTATGCAACAGAACAGAACTGCCTGCTCTGTGGGATCAAACACAAGACAGTCAGTGAAACATAAGTGGCTGAAAAGCAAAGAATAAATTTTTTATGTAAATATGCCCAAATATTGCATCAGATATTGTAGTACTTTACTAGGGCTGCCATTAAAAACTGTATTAGCTGGGCTGGGGATTTAGCTTAGTGGTTCTGCCACCTGCCTCGCAAGTGGAGGGAACTGATTTTGATCCCCGGTACAAAAAAAGAAAAAAAAAAGGGTATTAGCTGGGAATTTAGCTCAATGGTGCTGGCTGCCTCACAAGCACAAGGTCTTGAGTTCGATCCCCGGTACCAAAATAAAGTAAAATAAAAAGGGTATTACCACAGACTACATGGCTAAAATAACACAATTTTGGAGGTTGCAAGTCTAAGATCAAAGTGTCAAACGGTTGGTTCCCTTCTGAGGGTACTGAGGGAGAGACTGGTCCCAGCCCGGCCTCCTGGGCTTGTTAGTGGCCATCTTCTCCACTCTTTCCCCCTCCTCACCTTTGTGGTACTGGGTATTGAAGTCAGGGCCTTTATGCTGAGCTATATCCCCAGAAAGTCCCTTTTAATTTTTGAGACAGAGACTAAGTTGCTAATTTGCCTAGGCCGGGCTTGAATTTGTAATTCTCCTGCCTCAGCCTCCCAGTGTTGGTATTATAGGCATACGACACCACACTTGGATTCAATTTCCCTTTTTTAATAAAGACACAAGTCATATTGGATTGGGGCCCACTGTAATGACCTCATTGGATTATCTCTGTCAAGATTCTACCTCCAAATAAGGCCACATTCTGAGGAACTGAGTTAGGACAACATACGAACCTTGGGAATGCAGCACATAATTCAACCCATAGCAGACATATTTACACTAAAACAAATTTTTTGTTAAGACGGTCAGATTTAACTGAGTGCCCCATCTTTATCTGCTGAATCTGACAACTTTTCCCAGGCAGGTGACAGCATCTCTACCTGTGCAGATGGACCTTCACGTCCTCCTCTCCTCTGCCTGTCACCTTCTCTAGCGAGGCAGCCTCCCTTCCCTTCCTTTTTTCCTTGCTTTCATTCTAACAAGTATTTCTTGAATATATCTCTCTGTGGGAGCTGTCTTCTTCTGTTCTTCCTGGTCTTGGCAGGGGTGGAGGCGGGGAGGGCCTGGGAGCCCGAGATGACCGGATCTTTGACCTGGACCCCAGGGCTTCTACGAGGAGGTGGCTAACCCGCTGCTGACCAGCGTGAAGGTGGAATACCCCGACAACGCCATCCAGGACCTCACCCAGAACAGTTACCAGCACTTCTACGATGGCTCTGAGATTGTGGTGGCCGGGCGCCTGGTGGACGAGGACATGAACAACTTTAAGGCAGACGTGAAGGGCCACGGGGCAAGTAGGGATTGGGGTCTGGGCATGTGCGGGGAAGAAGCTCAGTTTCCTGGCTGATGGTCCAGGAGTGGCCGTCTCTGAACCTGGCCCCACTGGCTCCAGCTCTTACCCCTCTCACCTTTTCCCCCAGGCCCTCAGTGATCTGGTCTACACAAAGGAGGTAGATGTAAAGGAGGCAGAGAAGGCCCTGAAGGAGCAAGACTATATTTTTGGGAACTTCATTGAGCGTCTCTGGGCCTACCTCACCATCGAGCAGCTCCTGGAGAAACGGTGACCCTGGCCCACCCCGCATGGAGCCGGGACCCAGCCTGGGCACCCCATACTTCCCCTACACCAACCCGAGCTGCCCTGTGCTGGCTGCACTCCGAGGCGGGCAGAGAGGGAAGAGCACCTCACCCTGCACCAGGCTAGCCCCTAGTGCTTCTGTGGCTTGGCATCAGCCCCCACGGCCAAGGAAATGCCAGTGAGGCCGAACAGAACTGAGGCCCCAGCAACCAGAAGGCAGAACTGGGCCCACTCCAGAGGGTGACAGAGTATCATTTAGGCTCATTAGCACAGGAACTGGCATGTGCTGGGCACTTGGCTCAAGGACACTATCACTGTCCTTGTCATAGAAGCCATTTCAGGCCATTGACATTTTTTGAAGCCACTGATATTTTATAGGTGGGGAAACTGAGGCCCAGAGAGGAAACAGCCCCAGGTAGCTGGTGAACCAGTCATTTTTTGAGCTTCCCTGGGGTCCATCGGGGAATTCATCAATGTGGTGGGGGTAGGGAGAATCCCTGGTTGTCCCTGGGCATCTTGGTCTGGTTCTAGGGGCCACTGGAGGGGAAGGCAGACAGAGAGCTGTTCTCAGGGCTGACTCTCCACACAGCAAGAACGCTCAGAGCGAGGAGAAGGAGAACCTCACAGCCCAGGCCCTGGACCTGTCCCTCAAGTACCACTTTGTGACTCCACTGACTTCCATGGTGGTGACCAAGCCAGAGGACAATGAGAACCAGATGGCCTTCGCTGACAAGCCTGGGGAAGGTAGGCACAGAGAGAGAAGGGCAGAATCTGGAGACTCTCGCCCCGGGTACCCAGCAGAGGAGTTGGCCAGCCCGAGAAGGCCAGACCTCCTAAAGAAAGGCAGGTCTACGGTGTCAGAAGGAAAACGGCCAAGGGGTAGGGAAGGTGGGGTGGCAAAAGCAGTCATCAGAGACAGTGAGGTGTGGACAGACAGGAGCTTCTGAGCCTCTGGGCAGTGTGCCCAGGGGCATTTCAAGGAAGGGAATTAGGCTGCAGAATTCAAGGGCTCGGTTAGACAAGAAGCACTTCTAACCCAAAAGTTGGGTCCAGGGAGCAGACACCTGAGGATTGTGAGAAAAAGGTCGAAGCCTCCTCAACCAGACCCCAGACTGTACTCTATGAGTGGGTGGATGGAACTCCCAAATGCCCACTGTAACTGGCTGCAGGGTGGAGAGGCTTGGCATTCTGACGCATATGAGGCAAATGTTTGGGCCAAGCCTCTGGCTTCCATGAGCTCCCGGTTCCAGGAGGCAGCTTGACATGACAAAGCCAGCTGTGGGCCAGGCAGCAAGCTCTGGCACTCTGGAGCCACTACCATCTGTTCCCTGGGCCTGGCTAGTAGTACATGTCCTCGAATACATGTTTCCTTCCCTCTTTCTTTGCCCACAGATGCAGAGGGTAAGCCCAGCCAGCATCCAGGTGGGCACTGTGGAAGGGAGATGGGATAGAACTGAAAAGGTCTTTCCAAGCCAGCAGGGACACTTCATCGGAGGTGGGTGGGGCACTCGGCAACCCTGGGCTCAGGTCCAGCTCTATTCCTGCCACCTTGCGAGTGACGGAGAGTCAGACTCTGCACATCATGGAGCCTCAAGGTTCCCACCAGTTGACTGGGAGTGGACTTCCCTGCTGAGGAAAGGACAGTCAGTCTGAGAGCATTCTGTAACTTCCAGAAATTAGCAACTTATAGTGTCGGGGAATTATACTCAAGCCCACAGAAAGTTTCCAAAGGATCCTTTCAGGGCATGGATCCTTTATTCCTATTTCATAGCGAGGGAACTGAGGCACAGAGAGATTAAGTCTATTTGCTGAAGCATTCAGTAGGCAATTGATCAGGGACTGGGCTGAGGCAGCCTGAGCCCTGGGCTCATGATGGAGATTGCTGGGTGTCAGAACACTCTGTACCTCTTAACATAAAACTGGAACTTCACCCCGCAGAAGCTTACCACCAGGCAGGGCCTCCTTGGCACATGCCAGCCTGCCCCACCTATGTCTAAAATAAGGAACATATTTGGATCAGGCCAGCACTTCTCCTCAGAGCAGCTCTGTCACATTAGTCACTGGCATGTGTACATCCATGCCACTGGGTGTTTTCCTACAGAGGATCAAGGTGACAGTGGGCCTCAACCTGCCCCACATCTGTCTGCCATGAGCATTATTCAGAGGGAAGCTGGTGACTTGGTTTTTGCATTTTCCTCACATCAAACTGTCACACCACTAGCATTAAAATCATGCCATATCACCACCATCTGGTGGAGGGGGTTCCCTAGACAAGTCTCCATTTCTTTCTTTCTTTCTTTCTTTTTGGAACTAGGGATCTAACTCAGGTCCTTGCGCTTGCCAGGCAGGCAGCAGAACCACTGAGCTAAATCTCCAGCCCAACAAGTCTCCATTTCTGAAGCCTAAACTTTGGGGTCACATCCTCCCTAACAATGGGAACCAGTAGCCTAAGCCAGGCTAAAGGCACAGGACTGGGGGGAGAGCATGCCCACATCCTGTTCACAAGTGTCCTTTGGCTTTTTAGCCAGATCTGCGACCCCCTCCACGGCCTACCAAGGTGAGCAGCTGTGCCTATTGTGGCCACCTCTGCCCCTGCCTTACTCCCCTCTGTGGTCTTTCCTCAATCAGCTCTCTGGGAAGGCAGATAGGCCAGGTGTCCTGGGAAGGAATGAGAACGTTAGGGAGCAGGGGAGGGAGGGGGCCTAAGCCAAACTCTAGCGGCGGGTCCTGGCCCTCTCCAAGCTGCCCAACTCAGCCCTGTCCTCTTTTGCTCCACAGTCAGATACCAGCCTCCTCAAAACCCCTACTACTACGGTGAGTTCCTTGGTCACCCTGGGGCATGGCTCAGGTCCTAGGAGCAGAGATCCAGACTGCCAGGGGTTAGGGGGCCAGGGAAGGCCCGTGACACAGGGACAGGCTCCAGGAGTCAGCCCCTTCTCCGATGTTCCCTCAGTGGATGGGGACCCCCACTTCATCATCCAAGTCCCAGAAAAAGATGATGCCATCTGCTTCAACATTGATGAAGACCCAGGCACGGTGCTGAGCCTCATTCAGGACCCGGTCACAGGTAGGGGCTGCAGGTCTGGGTTCTTCCAGAAGAGGTATCTAGAACCCCTTGGTGGGCTCACGAGCCAGGACCTCCTCACTGTGCCCACTAACACACCCACCTTCACAGGCAGAACATTCTAGGGCTGGGGCAGGGGCCACCAGGATGTTTCCAGTGCTTTTTTTTCCTGCCCCCATACTGAGGATGGAACCCAAGGCCTTCACTCTGAGCTACAACCTCAGCCCTTTTAATTTTTTAAAATTTTGAGACAGGGTCTTGATAAGTCATCCAGGCTGGGCTCGAACTTGCGATCCTTCGGCCTCGGCCTCTTGCTCCTACTCTTAGAAAGAGGTCGAGTTGCTGGGTAGCCTGGCGGCTGGGGGTAAGACCCAGCTGTATGTAGGAAGCTTTCTCTGGACTACATACACTCTCTGGTCTAGGCAAGGGCCAGATTCACAATGTCCCTGTAGAAACCAGACCTGAAGAGTCTACAACAGATAGAACTGTGTTCTGAAGGCCTAGGCTTTCCTTGGGGGCCCTGCTCTGCTACCCTTCAACAGGTCTGGTTGAAGGGGAAGGCATACCCCTAAATATCAGCCTTTACTCAAGAGGGTTTCCGATGTCTCTCCCTGACCCTCCCTCCGGCAGGTCTCTCTGTTAATGGGCAGATCATTGGAGATAAGAGAGACAGCTCCAACTCCAACACCAGAAAGACTTACTTTGGGAAACTGGGCATTACCAATGCTCAGATGGACTTCCGGATTGAGGTGACAACAGAGAAGATCACCCTGTGGAATGGGGTTGTGCCGACCACTTTGAGCTGGCTGGACACAGTCACAGTCACACAGGATGGGTAAGGTCCTCCAACTGTCTCCAAGGGATACAACAGCCTGAAACTTTTGAGGGATCTGGACCAATCCCAAGACAGATATCCATAGGGCATCACAAGAGTTCAGACCTCAGAGAAAGCAACCACAGTGTTCCCAACTAGCCCTGGGACTCCTGTCAGAGCCAGAATTGGTAGCTGGAGAGATCCTAGGACTGACTCTGAGGGAGAGACTCACTGGATGAGAACACTGGGTAAAACCTGGGCATAGTGGCAGGCACCTGTAAGTCCCAGTGGCTCAGAAGCCTGCAGTGGGAGGGTTGCTTGAGCTTAGTTCAAATCCAGCCTGGACAACATAGTAAGACCCTGTCTCAAAAATAAAATAAAATAAAGAAGAGAGAAAGAAAGAAAAATAAAAGAAAGCATTAGGTTAATATTGCATTTTCTCTGGCTGAAGCTAAAAGATCCCAAACTCCTTAGCCTTTCTTGTATCTTCAGATCCTCTAGAGCCTGGTGGGCAGGGCAGGAGTGATATTCCCACTGAGGCTCAGAGAGGGGGCACAACCTGCCCAAGTCCACACAGGAAGTCAGTGGCTGAGCTGGGGCCGGGACTCCCAGGACAGCCCTCTCCTGCTTACATGAGATCCTCTTACTGGAGGGCAGGGACATGTACAAGGCATAGCCTTTTCTACCCTCCTCCCATAGCTCCTCGAGTCTGTGTGCTCTCAGGTGCTATGTACCCAAAAAAGCCTCACCCAAAAAAGCTTCAAAAAAGTCATGGGCCTCAAAGCCACCTCCTCTTTTCTCCTAGGCTGTCTGTGACAATCAATAGGAAGAAGAACATGGTGATTTCCTTTGGACGCGGGGTTACCTTTGTGGTTGTGCTGCACCGGGTGTGGAAGAAACATGACTTTCTAGGCTTCTATGTGGTAGACAGTCACCGGATGTCAGCACAGACACATGGCCTGCTGGGTAAGGAAGGTTCAGACACAGAAACATGAGAGAGGCCATCACCCTGTACTCAGTTCACACTCCATTCAATTCTGTTAACCCTGAAAGGCCAGAAGCCACATTACCTATGGCAATGGCCAGGGCCCGAGAGCCTGAATGTTTTTGTTTCCAGGTCAATTCTTCCACCCCTTTGACTTTGAGGTGTCCGACGTCCACCCAGGCTCTGACCCCACAAAGCCAGATGCCATAATGGTGGTGAAGAACCATCAGCTGACTGTCACAAGGTGAGGAGACACCTCTGACACCATCTAGCTCACCCTGCCCAGAAACAATACAAGAGCAAGGAGCCCTCTCGGTAGTGGCACATTTTCCTGGTGGGCTCTGGCTTCTGCAGTGCTGTTTCTCTTTGAGATCTTGATTCCCTCTAGGCCTCTTTAAATCAAGGGGAAGCCTAAAGGTGGAAACTTGGAAAGAATAATCATGCAAACTCATTCTTGACCAAGGACTTCTAGACTCAGACTTTCCAACTTCACACTTTTTCGACCTTAAGTCCATGACCATCACAACTGTCTTGCCCATCCCGTGCATTACAGCATCTCTCTCTTACCACAGGGGCTCCCAGAAAGATTACAGGAAGGACACCAGCGTGGGCATGAAGGTCAACTGTTGGTTTGTCCACAACAATGGAGAAGGGCTGATTGACGGTGTCCACACTGACTATATAGTTTCCAACCTGCTCTGAGTAAACATGCCAGCTTCTGTTGGGCACAGAACAGGGCCTGTGGGTGTGGTATGGACAATAAAGCCTGCTGTGGGAACAGACAGCTCCTAGCCTCTGCATGCCTTAGTGGGCCCCTGCTCCAAGAAACAGACAGCTGAACCAAGCAGCTCAAGGAAGGCTTGGCTGGTGGAGGCAGCATCTTGGGCTTCTCCACTGATACAGCTGACAGAGTTGGTACTGTTGGGGGTGGGAATCAAAAGGATGATGTGGGGAGGAAAATAATCAAGAATAGGCTCTGGAACAAATGGGGCTCTGAAGTCAGGATTGAGTGCATTTCAGGACCCGGGAATGTCATAGAAAAAGTCAGTGGTCCTGGCTTAGGAGCTCCTATTAGGACCTTGAGAACCAGGAAGTGCTCCAGGGCAGACAAAGCTCACAGCTAAGTGGAGATGTCACCCATCCCTCAATCTGTCTACCTGTGTTAGTTTCTGTCACTGCACAAGATACCTGAGATAATCAACTTAAAGGACATTTATTTTGGCTCCAAGTTTCAGAGGTTTCAATCCATGGTACTTGGCACCATCACTTTGGACTTGCAGAGGCAATATATATCATGACAGGAATATGTGGCAGAGAAGGTCTGCTCACTTTATGGTGGTCTAGAAAGCAAAAAGAGCCTGGAAGGTCCAAGAACCCAATATCCGCCTCGAGAGCATGCCACCCAGTGACCTAACTTCCTTCCACCTGGCCCTACCTCTTAAAGGTCACAGTGCCTCTTACTAGTGCCACAGGCTGGCAACCAAGACTTTAACACATGGGCCTGGGGGACATTCAAGACCCAAACTAAAGCACTACCCATCTATCCGCCTTCATCCACTATCCATTCTATCCATCCATCCCTACCATTCACCAACCCATCAACCCTACTGTCTACCTACCCTTCCTACCACTGGTCCATCCATCGATTCAGCAGATGAACATAATACCCCGGGTCAGGACGTACAGGCACACACTTCAGTAATCCAGTTTCTGTTTTCATAGTTGCCTGTTTGCCTTCCTTTGGGCTAGGCCTTTCTGCAATCCTCCAGTCACATCATGGTAACCCCTTGATCTCCTCTCAGTGAATCTGGGGTGGGCTAGGGAGGTAGAGAGAGGTTCCTGGAAAAGGGCTTTAAGAGTCCTCCAGCCTCAACAGCCCTCTCTCCTTTGGCTCTGTGCCTCTCCACGGCCTCCCAGAGAACTTTTCACAGAGCAGAAAGGATCACCACTCTCTGTCTGAGGCCCTTCAGATGGCATCACCCATCCATTGCTCTGGAGACTGAGACAAAAGTCCTTCCTCTTGTGTCTCCAAATTCCCCTCACTGAGTTCCAGACTTATAGGCTGTTTCTAGCTGTACAAACATCCTGTCCCAGAGCCTTTTCTGCCGAAGCTCTCTCTGCCTGAGGCCCCAAGGTGTGCTAGGCAGAGGGAACCCTGGTTGGAAGCAGTGGGCGATTTTCCAGATGGCAGAGCAGGGGACACAAGAAGGCTGGAGGAGAATGGAATCAAACTGGGGGAATCCTGAATGCCAGTGTGTGGTGACACGTGGCTATGGATCACAGAGTCGTCCCTCTCCCACTCCAGAAGACCCACAGCCACACCCCATGGCTGGAGCCAGGACTAGCAGTTTTCAGGGCCCACACTGGCCTAGGGGCTGGAGGGCAGGGAAGGTAGCTGTGGGACACTACTGGCAGTCTGCGGGCAGTCGTTGTTTAGGCAGAGCGCATATGAGACGCGACTCGCAACATGAAGTCCTCTCCGTGGACCCGGGGGTGAGTGTGGCAGAGGTCTGGGTGGGGTTGGCTAGAAGGGCCCAGGCCTATGAAGAGATCCTAGAGTCTGCAGAGCTGCTGGCCCATCTGGTTCTGGAGGGCTGTGGAGCCATGTGCTGGAAGCATCAGCATGAGGTCAGTGTTTGCATCTGGGCACTAGGAGAATAACACCGTCAGAGGGAGAGTGATGAGAAATCTTCGTGTGGTTTTGGATCCCTGCCTTGCTGCTCCCACAGCAGCCGAGCTGAAGGGGCTGGCAGAAAAGCCAGGAAAGTTCTGAGCCGAGGTCCTGCTCATGCCTACACACAGCAGGAGGCCTTCCGTGCAGGGAAGGGCAAGGCTGACCCCTCTCCCAGTCCACATAGCTCGCTCCACCGGGCCTTCCTACACCTGGCTTTCAGAACAGAGGCCACACTCCCTGACAAGACAGACAGCCTGAGCCGCCCGGCCCTCCCTCCCCTTCCTCCTCACCCCATACACCTACACCCTTCCCCTTCCCTGAACTCAGAACAGTGTCCTGGCTCCAGGCCCAGGCCCATGGGGTTCTTCTCACCTGTTGTCTCTGCACTACGTTCATCCTGGGCTAACTTCTCATCACCGTAAAAACTCAGCCCCAACACCACCGCCTTCAGGCCAGGCAAGATGTCTCCCCAGGCTCCAGCAGCACCCTGTCCCTTGCTGGGGAGTGGCTGTCACAGTGGCACTGTGTCTCACTGGGTCCAAGGCAGGCACAGGACCTAGTCCTGGACCTGGCCTAAGTAGGGGCTGGAAAGTATCTGGCAGATGAGGGAATGAAGGGCACACACCTACTTTCCCTGGTCACAGTACGCCCCGGAGGTGCTGGCAGTGCCCCAGCCAACCACGACTCCTCTGCCGCTATACAAACAGCGCAGCCCAGCCCGGGGGGGTCACGTTCCAGAGGAGTGAGCTTGGGGTGGGCTTCCTTCTCGGGCTCATAAGTCCCCTGTTAGCCCCACAGTAAATCCCCCACAGCCCAGGCTGCTCTCTTGTCTCACAGAACTCTGGTCTGGGCCCCCTCAGCAGGTGGCCCCTCCTCAAGGAGCTGCAGCCTGAGACCCTCACCTGCCAGGAGAGGAGAGGGAGGCAGGAATATGAGGAGTTTCTCTGTTAGGCAAATCTGCCGCTTGAGGCCCCTCCCACTGGCCTGCCTCTGATCCTTCCAGACTCATTCAGCAAACACCTTCCCTAGTTCCAGAGCTGGAAAATAAACACTTTCCTAATGACCTTGTCTGTTTTCTCTTAGCCAGCAAGTGAGCTCATTTTCTTCTTTAGCTTGGCTGCCAGGAAGCTATGAGCCAATTGTGGCTACGGTTTCCCCATACTAAGTTGCCCAGGCTGGCCTCAAAATGGCTATCCTCCTACTTCTGGGCAGCTGGGACTACAGGCCTTTGCCACCACATCTGGCTCTTCACATATTTTAAATCATCTCTAGATTACTTATAATACCTAATATAATGTAAATGGCATATAGTCCTAGCACCTGGGAGGCTGAGGCAGGAGGATCATGAGTTTGAGACCAGCTTGGGCTACATAGAGGAGGCGACTCTATCTCAAAAAGACAACAAACACACAAACAAAAACCAAACCAAAACAAAAAACCCCAAAAGCAAAACAAAACTACACATGTTCAGATCCTTTCACAATTTTCCTTCTGTGATTGACTGAACCTACAAATGTGGACCCTATAGGCACACAAATGACCAACTATAATAATAAAAAAAATTTTTTTGGTGGTACTGGGGATCAAACCCAGGGCTGCTCTACCACTAAGCAACTACTACACCCTTTGAGACAGGATCGGGCTGGGCTCAAACTTGCAATCCTCATGCTTTGCCTGCAGAAATTGGGTAGAATCTTTGGGGTGGCTAATCATGGCGCAGGAACAGGAGAGGGGACCTTCCACAGTGCAGATTTAGAGTTGAGGGCCCAGATCACCCCATCAAGTGAGGTTTCTGGGAACAGAACCCGGCTCCCTCCTGAGCCTGGGATGTTGTCGCTGTCTCCTGTCTTCTATTGCCAGCATCTTTACCAGACAGGGAGCAGACAGGCCTGTTCCTGGGCCCATGTGTGAAAATTAAGCTGTATAAGGCAAATCCCATTGCAAAGCACCCCAAAAGTTCACTGGAAAAGTCTGGGAGTTGGCCTATAAAGAACAAGCCAGCCCACTTCATTTTTTTTGAGTCAAAACTAGTTTTCAGAGACCAGGTGTCCAGTGAGCAGCCAGGACCTTCACTCCCAGAGAACGTCTGCCAGCGCTGGATCCTTGCCTGGCAGGGGTGAACATTTCACATGGGTGGCTTTCTTTTACTTTCCTACATTGCAAAGCAAAGGGCCAGGGCTGAGAGGCCTCATGGACCTGACTGGACCCAGGCCCTTGACGGCTCAAAGTGGAAGAATCTAATGTTCTGTGACGCTGAGTGTTCAAGACAGATGCTGAGGCCTTGGGATTTGTATGTGAAACCAGAGACGCTTACTTCCTAGGTCACACCATCTTTATTTGTAACAAGTGGGAACCCCCTTCCTATTGTGATCCAGGCCCCACAGGTGACCCTGCAGCCACAGAGTGACAGCCACTTGCACACAACAGGGCGGCAGGGGTAGGGCATGGGCTCCTCTTATCTGAACTACAGCTCCACCGACCAGCAGGAAATCTCTGTCCCTCCGTGGTGATCCAACCTGAGCTCTCTGGGATAGATAGATGACAGGCAGAGAAGCGTTCAGCAAATCTCAGGTAGGGTGGGAAGAGGGGGACAGCTGGAGACAGGAACATGCAAAGTGGGGAGTCCCCAGTCCCTAGCCAGGTCACAAATGCCCAATTACTCAAAGGATTACCAAGGGAACCTAGGATCTGGGGATCTGAGAGTTGGGCAGGGACAAGGACAGTTTTCTGGTGATGCTGGGCCTGCTGTTTTCTGTGGAGCTGCGCTGACCAGCCTTTGTGGGGTCACTGAGCACGGGTTCAGACATGCGTCTGGTGCCAATCTTTTACTCGCTTCTAATTGCTGAGCAAGGAAGGACAGAAGGAGTGGGGTTCTGCGGGGCCTGGTTCCCAACCTCCCCATCCCCTCATCCTGGCCTGGCCATGCTCAGGGGCTGCAGGTGCTGAGTCACCTGGTGGCAGAGTAGTCCTTCCCTTGAACCCTCAGCATGCGTCTGCTGTCATCTGCAGCTGCTGGTGGCTCCCAGAGCACATCCTGGTAAAACTGGCCTGAGGCACAAAGGGTGGATCAGTGGAGAATAAAGGCAGAGCTTGGGAGACATGCAGAGGGGAGGACACCGCCTGCTCTTTACAGAGGGGGTCCCTGAGGATGTGAGCCACGGGCAGAGTACCGAGGGTCCCGCTGACTTGGCTGGAGAAGTGGTCAGTGTCACGCAGAAGGAGCAGGAGCCCCTTCCCGGGGTCATTCTGAGATGACAGGCCAATGGTCACTTTGTCTGGGCCACTGAGCAGCAGGAGCCCTGTCTTGTCCATGGTCATCTCCAGGCTGTGGAAAAAACCAGTGGCCTAAGCAAGAAGGCAAAGACACTTGGATAGTAGCATGGGGAGTCACTGTGGCCTTGGCTGGGGAGTCCCTCAGGTCTTTAGTTTTCTTACAGGTAAAACAGGGTCATTGATGGCTTCATAATATCCAATTTCCCTGGCATTATTTATAAAATAGTGGCTCCTTTTCCTCTGAGTTTCTTAAGTTTGATTTTTTTTATGAGTTGGTTTTTATGATTTAGGGAGTTTCTCTGATACACCTACTCAGTCTCTGCCTTTTTTATGGCAGGTGCCACTTTGTTTTGATTAGGGTTTAATTGTGCATTTCAGTGAATGTTAAATGTTTTTTCATTCTACCCCTTCTTTCCTTCCTTCCTCCCCGCTCCCCCAGTACTGGGGAATGAACCCAGGACCTTTGTACTGAGCTACATCCCTAGTCATTTTTACTTTTTTTTTTTTCTTCCTTTTGAGACAGGGTCTAACTAAGTTGCTAAATTGTTCAGCCTGCACTCAAACTCCAGCCTTCCAGAATGTAGGAATTAGAGGCATGCACCATACCCAGGTTGGCTTATCTTTATGTGTAACTTCTAACAGGTCACAAAAGTATTTGATTTACTATTATTATAATGAATAGAAAATTTTCATTTACTGGCATATATTTTGAAGGCATAGAAATGCTACCAATCTTTGTGCATCTATCAGATCACAAGAAACTCTAAGGTCTATGTGGAGAAGAGGCTGAGGCTGGCTAAGCGATTCATAAGGCAGCAATGGACAAAGTTCACAGGCCAGAGTGCAGGGTCAGGGTCCCTGGCCCCTCTCTGGGGCCCCTCACAGCCTCCAGAAATGGGGGGCTGCCCTGGAAGGTCCGTGGCAGGACAGCCACACCTCCTGGAAGTCACTGTCCACCTCCATTGCCCACCAGCTCCAGGACCTCACCAGCCCCCCGAAGGTTTGCTAAAGGTAACCCTCATGACCCCTGGGCCAGGGCTCTCCTGTTCTCATGATTGCCATCAAGACCTCATCGTGCAAGCAGTACCCTGTATGTCTTGTCCAAGGGACAGTGTATCATTTGATGGCAAGTGCTCCCTGAGCGCCTCCTCCCACTGGGTCCTCTGACCCCTCTGACTCAGGGCTAGGATATTAATGGGAAGCTGAGGCTCAGAGGAGCTAAACGCCAGCACAGGCTCACAAAGAATTAGCTGCAGAGCTACCAAACCACACTGTGGCACCCATGGGACAGTGACGTGGGTGAGTTGTCAGAACAGCCAGGTCCCCAGGACAACTCCCTGGTGCCTCCAGAGTCACAGGGCTTTGGTGCAGGGCTCCCTGTATCTCTGCTCCATCTCCAGTTTGTGGTCTCGGCCACCAGTCAGGGCCATCACCAGCCAGTGTGGCTGAGAGGTCATCTGCTCGTACCCAGCGTGGAACGTACCCAGGCAACACTGAGAACAGTGTCTCCTTCCACTTGTATGCAGAGCGTCTTTGGTTCCGGGTCACCACCACATGTTCAGGGGATACATGAATCTGCACCTGGGGGTTCTTATAGGTCACCTCGACCCAGAAGAACCCAGCCTTCTGTCTCTTGTACTGGCCAGTCACCTCAAGCCCTGACAAAGCCAAACCAGAGAGGTCAGAGCAGGGCAGAGCACTGACCTGAGCAGGGAGTCCTCCTCTCAGAAGTGATCTTCACTAGCTAGTGCCCTTCAGGGCCACCCGTTTCTTCAGCAACGCTCCACACTGTGCTTGCTACCGTGATCCCCACTCCCTCTTCAGCTTCACATGGTTTTGGAGGGGTCCCTGATTCTTTGGTGAAGGCTACTGTGAGTGAGACTTGGAGAAGGGAGGTCTTGTCTCCAGTCCATAAGCTTCATCAAGGCCCTGGAGGGTGTCTGGCCCTGAGCTAGCTGCCTGGTCAAGGGTGCGATGGGAAATCCCTGAGAGCAGGGAGCACACAGCACATGAGCCTGAGCACTGTGACAGGGGACCACATGACCCTGGAAGAACAGGGGAGCCATGGATGTCCCTTAGCTCTTTTAGCTCTGTTTGTGCATCCCTGAGCGCGGTGTGTCCCCGTGTCTGCCTTGCCACCTCAGCTTGACCAGTGAGGCCCTTCCAGGGTTACACGGTGAGCTTGGGGCAGCACCTATGCCACTGGGCCCCGGTTCTGTGCCCTGCAGGTTCTGAATTCTCCATCTAGAACAGCCTTAACCTTTCCTCTACTTGTTTGCCAAGGCTCAGCCACTCTTGCGTAAACTGTACAGTGACTCAATACTCAGGTAGCTCTGGCCCCTTGGCACTGACCACAACGAACCCAGCCACCCATATCTGCATGGGATGTCTGGGGAGGGCCTACAGGTGGTGCGGGGGAGAGCCTACTCTGGGGTGCACAGTGTCTGTACACTGTGCGTCTCTGCGGGCAAATGATGAATGGGTGAGAGTGGTACCGAGGTCTCTGGGGGGATGGCTGGGTGTGTACTCTCCTCACCTCGGCCAGGGTCTGAAAGCAGGTCCATGGGACCCTGAGAATGACTGATGTCCACGCAAAGTCGGTCCCCACTGGGCCCACGCAGTGGCAGGATGATGGCAGGAACCTGGCCAGAAGCTGGGACAGCCACACAGTTCCTAGAGCAGGTGGAGAAGTCTAGGGGGCAAGGATGGGGAGGGATGCTGGGAAGGCAACTTACCTGGAGATGGGGCTATTGTAGTTGTTTCTAGAAGAAGAAAAAGGAAAAGGCCTGGGTTCAGGCAGCCCCTTCCTGGGGAGTGGGAGCATCACAGTTTGAAGCAATGGACAGGTGCAGATAGGGCTCCCTCTCTACTTCAACATGGAGAGGCCCATACGACAGCTTCACAGAGACCCTGGAGGGCCCCAGTTGGGACAAGAAGCTGCTCCAGGGGCTCTGGCCTGGGGTGTACCTTTGTTTTTTATTTTCAGATGATCCAACACATTCTGAGTCAAATCTGAGGAAATCAATGGCGTTGTAATCGGCATCACTGCAAGAACATTCAGAAACATAAAGGGAGATGGCATTAGGACTCAGAGCAATCCGCATACCCTGTGGCCAACCCTGCCACCCGTTCCCACCAAACTGTGACACACATCAGCCTTGGAAGGAGGACTGGTAGGGGAGATGTGAAGAATTTAGGTTTGCTCTGTAGCTGCACCTGGGTGCAGACTTTAGGAACAGAAACAGTGTGAGGGCCTCCTGCTAGCATTGGACACTTCCAGCACGAGTAATGAATCCTACCCTGTGAAAATAGTTCTGCCCTGGGGAGGGGATGCCTGTCTTTGAGCTGGCGGGGGTGTCTCCAGGTGAGGGGGATTAACAGTGATGTCTAAAGAGCTTGACTAGAAGCCCTCCTGGTCAGCCTCTGCCCTCTTGGGACCCAGGGTCCCCCCTGACCAAGCAGCGTGAGAGAAGCTGCCGTCTAGGTTTGTGGTGAGACAACCAAGGGACAGGAGAAAGAGGGATCACACACCCAAGGAGATAAAATGCTGAGGACAGGGTAAAGGGGTGGCTAGTCAAGAGGTAGGCAGACAAGAGCAGCCCCTCAGAGAAGGCTGTGTGCTTGCCTAAGAGAGGATCCTGGATGGACCAGACCATGCTCACTGCACTGTCCTGCGAGCTCTCCCTGCCCGGCTGTGCTTGGTGCTCTCTCTCACCCCTCTCTACAGGGCCGCTTCAATGGCCACTGTGGGGAAACTGAGGTCCTCTGAGGTCCGACAGTGACTTACTGTGGGACGTGTCCCTCAGCCTCTCCACGTTCGGATGTGGGTAGAAACGCGAGTGATGAGACAGCTGGGAAAGATGACCAGATTGTCGATAGTTTCCAGGGACCCCCAGAGCTACCGCTCCGAAACTCGAAGGGAAGTTAGAAGCTCCTAGTTTGTAAAAATGAACAGCTGCGGTCTTTACTCAGGCAGCGTCATGGGTCCCCAGAGCCAGGGTTCGGGGACTTCAGGCCAGGAGGGGCGTGGAGAAAGGGCTGGTGGGCTTTTCCTCCCTAATACCTGCTACTCCGTGTAGCTCCCCCACACCTTGGCCTGGAAGACAACGATACTGGATTCTCCCTCCCACCACCAAAGATCACGTCCGCCTAGGCCCTACCCATTCAGTGAATCCTCTTCTTTGATCAAGGGAAGGCTCTGCATAGCCCCTTCCTCATCAGACACACCTGAGATAGAGTCCCAGGCCTGTCACCAGTGAGGGAGGCTGGCCAGAGCACTCCCTATCCTCAGCCAGGTCAGAGAGTGGCTGGGGTTATGATTGTGTCATCTCCCCACCCTTTACTCCCTCCTCATTCGCACCTGGTATCCTGGACTGTCCTCTTCCCATGGTATGCAATTTGGAAAGGCGACCTGAAAGTCATTGAGACTTGCGTTTACTCCTTGGATCCATCTTTCTGGGATCCCAGGTGGATAGAGACTGTGTCCCTAGTGCCCAGGACAGGGCCTGAGGGGCACCCAGTATTTTAATGAACAAGTGTCTAAATGCACTAGTGTGGTCAGACAACACCATCTCCTGGTACCAGGAGGGTGGAGCCAGCCTTTGAAGGCATTAGGTCTTTACCTCCTGAGTGGACATTCCCATGTCTGTTATCTGAATAAAATACACAAACACACACAGGCAGAGAAGAGAAAAGGGGCACTCTCAGGGCAGTTTTGATCAAGTTGAAGTGCTCATATTTGAACTTGCTTCCTAATCCCAGAAATACACAGATACAGTGCACTGGAGGGAGCCAGGAGACCTGTCCTCAGTTTCATCAGATCCCTCCCTGGCTCCTGGGAGTCTGTGGATGGCAGGACAGGGTCTTGGTGGGATGCAGGAAGGCAGGGAAGAAGGCAGAGATCTCAGTTTCACACTCACGGTCCTCCGCAGGCTTGTCAGCAACTTGAGACTGTTCTTGGCCTTCAGGTTTGGTGATTACCATAGATGTGAGAGGAGTGACAAAGTTGTAGCTGAGTGACAAATTCAGAGCTCGAGTCTTGAGGGCCTTAGATTTGTCATCCGATGCTGAAACACTATTGAGGTTGAGGATGTCAGAGCTCAAGAGGTCCTTGGGTATGTGGGCCACTTTTCCTCCCCACCGGGCCCTTCCTGGGCAATCCCCGGGGGAGAATTTGGAGCTCAGACATGCTATGCATCTCCACACACAGGAGCTGCCCCATGTCAGCTGTGCCTGACTCAGGGAAAAAGCTGAGGAGCTGATGCTATATGCAGCCTGCTCCACTGGTCCACAAGGTCAGGGCCACTCACGTCTTCTCCAGCAGCTGCTGGATGGTCAGGTATGCCCAGAGCCTCTCCATGAAATTATGGAAGATGTACTTGGGACTCTGGAACAAGCCCTCCTGCTCAGCTGTGCTGGATTCCGCCTGGAAGGTGATGTTCTCCGTGTGCTGGAAAGAGGTAGTCCAAGCAGGGCAGGAGTAGTGAGGGAAAGATGTCTGCACTTGCCCTGAATTCAGAGCTGTTCTGTGAGAAGCCTGACAAGTACTGGCGCAGGTCCAGGGCACCTACCATGAGGGGAGCATCTCCTCTGGGTAGAGTGGGTATAGGGAAGGAATTTAGGGGTGCAAGGGGCGCAGCTGCATAGCCTCCAAGGGTTAGAGGAAGGGGAGATAAAAGGTAATCAGGTGTGTCAGGTGCGGGTAGGCAGGTACAAGGCAAGGACCTGACCCTTGGGGGAAAGGAAAATGAGTGCCCCCTACTTGCCCCTCTCAGCTGACTTGGCCACACTCACCATTTGCCCTCTGACTTTGCTGAAGAGCACATCGGGACTCTGGTCCCGGAGCTTTCCAGCCACCACCATCTCTGAACCCCTGAAGAAGAGGTGGAAGTTGTTCTGCGTGACTTCTTCCACAGCGTTGCTTGGGTACTCGAAGGCCACCTCTGTCAGCAGTGGATTGGCCACCTCCTCGTAGAAGTCCTGCGGGGTGTGGGTAGAGAGTGTCACAAAGGCCAGGCTGAGTCTGCCTGGCCCCCTGCAGCCCACTGGGGGACACTGGCACCTGGAGCTGCAGGGCAGAGTCCGAGTCTTCATAGATGCGCCGAGCTAGGCCGCCATTGTCCAGTGCCAGCTTCTCCAGGAAGGCATAGCTGACATCAAAGCCAAAGCCAAGGCAGAAGAGGCTATACTGGCTGCCTATGGCTTCCTGCACGTTTTTCTGGATTTGTGTGCGATTGGTCTCCCCTAGATCAGTGGGTTTGGGAAGAGGTTGAGAAAAGAGCTCAATGGCTATTTCCGGAACTCAGAGCCAGAAGGGTCTAAGTGATCCTCCCTCTGCCCAGGTCCCCCAGCAAGCCTGGGTGCAGCTGTTTCTCCTGTACAGTGTGACCTGGAGTGGCCGGGCAGTGCCCTCACCCACGGTGGGGTCGCCATCAGTGAGCAGGATGATGAGGGAGATGCTCCCAGAAGACAGCAGCTCAGCCTGGTTGCTGTTCTGCAGAAGCTGCACAGCCACCAGCACGGCATCGTTGATGTTGGTTCCTGAAGGGCACACACTTAAGGTGGCTCCCAGCCTGGCTCCCCAGAAGCCCTCAGCCTGCAGGGCTGCTGCCCACTTACCTCCCCTTGCCTGGATGCTGGCAGCATAGCTCTTGGCCTTGTTCACATTCTCCTCTGAGGCTGGCACCAGTAATGGGTTCCACAGGTTTGCTTCCTCACTGAAGACAATGAGGTTGAACTGGTCTTTGGGGTTGAGGTCACTCAGGATCTTGATTAAGGCTTCTCTGGTCTGGTCAAGGAAGAAACAAGAGGAGACAAGGTGGGTGGCTCAGAGGGCTCATGGTCCTTAGGCTGGTGTCTAGGGTGGGGACACAGAGCATGCTCTGGGGGCAGAAGCTGTGCTATGCTTAGGCCAACCACTGCCCCTGGAAGGACCCTACCTAGGAGGATGGAGCAGGTAGGGTCTGCCTGCTGGACCAGAGCTGATGGTGGAGAAGCCTGGAAGTTTTAGGGCCTTGCTGTAGCCCAGGGACCTACCTGCCGGATTTTCCTGCCACTCATCGAACCACTCTTGTCAATGACAAAGACCACGTTCTTGGGCATGGTGGGCAGGCCTTCTGGGGCGAAGTAGTGCACAAAGTAGCCATTCTCGATCTGTGGCCAGAGTGAGACCACAGCCACAGGATCAGAGCTGCAGCCCTGCCCTGACCTTGTCCAGCCTCATCACAAGTCCATGGGTTTTTATGTTCTGTTTTACTCCATACTTCTCTGTCCCACCCCTCACTTCACCAAATCTGTGCCATCTTTCAAGGCTCAGTCCCCTCTTGTAGGAGGCTTCTCTACTCACGCACAGCCCAGTAGAATTCTTCCTCTGCAAACCCGCCTCCTACTTGTTTTCATGCTTGAGGGAGCTTATACGAAAAGATTCAGACACTAAACTTGATGTTCATCAAAAGAGGGAAGATTTCAAAAGTAAGGAATAAAAGAGAGGCATAATGATAACAGAGAGAAGCTACTGTAACCAAGCATAAAACTGAGGTATGAGTCTGCGGGCAGCAAAGACAAAGAGGGAGACCCCACAGACGAGCTCTTCAAAGAGCTTTTCTGCCTCTGAAAAGAAATCGCTTCAGGGGCAATATAAATAAACTGCCTGTTTTCTGTCTGTGTCAATGCCTGGTGCACACTGCTAAATCAGGTTCATTATTTTCCTCTTGTAGAATACTCCAGCTCAGGTCTTTGTGGATGGACAGATTTCTAGGTTGCTTTGCTTTGGCCTGGAGCCCACCCACCTGAATGGAGTTCCCAGAATGGGTCCGGTTCACATCATAGCGGACAATGAAGTTGCCGTCCAGGATTGTGTCCTGCTGATCTGGAGACTTTTGCTGCTGGGAGAGCGTTGGCTTGAAGCGGATATGAGCCTGGAAAAACAAACTGGGCTGAAGCCGGAAGAGAAGCAAGGCCTGCTGACAGCTTCCAGCTTCATATGCATACTGAGAAGTCAGAATTCCAGGCTGCATCTTCGGGTTAGTATTCCAGGGACCTTCTCTTGGGGTGAGCTGCCACTGGACTGCCTCCACATAGTGAGTAGGTGTGAGAGGGAGTCCCATTTCTGGGGCCATGCATTCAGAGGCTGGGGCTTGGATGTGTGTGATCCTCTGTCTCCTCCACTCCACCTGCTCCCAGGATCCTTCTACCCGGCTACTCTCCACATCTTTCCCCCACAGATTGCAGGGCTCCTACAAGGGAGCACTATCCTCTAGGCCTTGCCCTTTCTGTTTGCCCAGACTCAAAGATCTTGGGAGCTCCTCCAGCTCAGAGTCGGCGCCACTGTACTGTACTCTGAGATCCAGCCCACAGGAATGGACTGAAGACAGAACCCTGGAACCTCCACCCACTGGCCATGGCAGGCCCACCTTGGTCGAATTCTTTGAGGTGGTGAGGGCATCTACTAGCTCGTTGGTTATGAAGGTGCTCTCTGTCTCCAGGAAGCTGATGCCCTGAGGCTCGAAGATGTGAATGTCCATCTGCAAGGAAGGATGTGAGTCATCAGGCCAGTTGGGAGCCTGGAATGGCCTTCAGAGGTGAGGGCATCCAGGAAGCCTCCTGAAAAAGGCAGTGTCAGATACCTGCAGGTGCTTGACGAGCTGTTGGGGCCGCACTTTGAGCAGGAGTTCATATACCCCCAGATGCCGCCTGAGTAGCTCCTCATACACCAGCTCGAAGGTGACCTTGGTAGCAGGAGCCACACTGACCGACACCTGGAACTCCTCCATCTTTCTCCCGGTGGCCCTGGGGAAAGAGTGTGTCAGGCCTGCCCGGCTAGAGGTTAACACAGGGGCAGTTTCCATCGTGACGCCCCTCCCTCCTCACTTGATGAGGCCGGCACTCTCTCCTCGGCTCACAGCCATACTGTACTGCTCCTGGGCCGCAGCCTTCTCCTTGACAGTCGCCGGGTAGGTCACACCGTCGATGACCCTGGGACACAGAGGTGGCAGCTGCCGAGAGGCTGGTGGAGGGTCTCTCCAGGAGTCGGTGTGTCTCCTGACACAGCATGTTTCTGCGTCAGTCACTGCCATTTATTTTGTACCTACCGCGTACACCATCCCAGGCACAGGCCTGTGCACATCCTGTGGTGTGTGCAGTGTCAGTACACATGCATTTCAGGGACCAGACAGGGAAGGAGAGGTGGTTGGGGAGGCAGGGTTGGGCTAAATAAGTCCAGCCTCCTTTCAGCCTTCCCCTTGCATTCCAATTTTCCCTTCAAGCCTCACAGACTATTCCTGGAGGAATCAGTCTTCACTGGCAAGAATTCTTCTCACTTGACACCACGTGGCCAAGACCGAGCAGGAGGAAGACACAGGGCTGAAGCCTCCAACCTCTTCCTTGCAGCTCCTCCATCTTGCCCCTCAGGGACTCTGCAGGGCGCTTAGCCTCTCTGGAAGTAGGTTTAGACGACTGGTAGGTTTAGGACTCCTGGGGGTGTGAACATGACCCTCAGCAGCTATCCTTTGGGGTTGAGAAATAAGGTCTAGGGCCATTTCTCTGGAAAGGGCTACTCCTTGTGGGGTGAGTAGGGGCATGTCAGGGAAGCACTCAGTCAGGCTCCATGGGAGGCGGTTGAAAAGTGGGAGTGTGGAGGCTGAGGGTGCGCAGCTGCACACAGCTGGCACCCCACCCTCACCTCCCTAGTTATACTCTACCCCTGGGCCAGGACGGGGCTGGGAGTAGGCAGCCCAGCTCCTTCCTGGTGGACGGTTCTCAGTATCTGTAGGTACAGTGGTGGGATGCATGGTTGGGTTAGGGATTGAGAAACCCTGTCACATGCTTCCCTATCTCACACAGCAGTGAGATCTGGGGCCAGAGAGGTGGTGCCAGTCTTGCACTCTCAGCTGGTACAGTAGTTTGGCTCCTGGTTAGAGGCTAGCACAGCCTGCATACCTCTGGCTGTAAGGTGGACCAGGCTATGAAAGCTAAGGCTGCCATGGGGCGGGGATAGGTGGGAGAGGGAGCAGAGCCAACCACAGGGACCCAAGCACCTACTGCCCCTTCCCAGGAACATTCCCTCTCTGTCTCCTCCAGCACCCTCCGTAATTCTGGGAGCAGCCTCTCTCTCTTCTCCTCTTCTGGAGGCCAGGGATAGACAGAGTGTTCTAATGAGCTTTGCAAACATTGCAAAACTGAGTTGGTAAGGGCAGAGAGGGTTGTCACCAGCTCAGAGTCCATGGAAACCCCAGGCATCTGTGGCAGCACAGGCAAGCCCTCTGCAGAAACAAGGAGGACCATTCCTCAAGGCAACTCTCCACTGGGTGAGGAGGTTCTAGATATTCTGAGATGGAGTCTACTTTGATCACTCCCTTCTAGCTAGATCTGGTCTCAGGACACCACAAGTTTGTGCTCTTCAAAGGCAAAGACAGAAATGCTGCGGTCCTCTGCCTGTCACCTGGGCAGAGCTTAGAGATGAGAGCTGGGGGCAGAAGGGCAGGCAGATCACCTCTGAAAACAGACAGCTCCTGGGTAAAGCCTCCATTCCCCGTGAGGCCTAACAGGTGAAGCACATCTTGCTTCTGGAAGAGAGTCTTGGGGCCCAGAGGAGATGGAGTTGCAGAGCTGGGCTGTGGGCCAGGGAGGAAGGGAGGTAGGCACCTACATGGAGAAATTGGTGATGAAGGCTTTCCTGGGTAGCTCCATCTGGAAGGTGGCCTGCTGCACAGCATCGGCCTTGTTGACCACCTGGCTGGTGATGACAGTATGGGCAAATCGGGACGAGACTCTGGAGTCCACAGTGAGACTGTAGATGTCGACGCCATTCTGGACCAGTGGAGGGGAAGCGAGTCAGCATGTCAGTGCCAAACTAGCTTGGTCAAAATGATCAAAATATGTGCAGGTATGAATGTGCCAAGATGAACCTGCTAATCTGTATATCTAATATGCACTAAACAAAACAGTATAGGGGAAAAAAGAGCCTGACCCAGACCAACCCCTACCCCCAACCGGAGTTGCTGAGCAGACCTCAGGCTGAATCCAGGGCAGCATTTCACATCTGAGACTGTCTGAAATAAGAGGCAGGGTGTGTTCACCCCCTACCCTACAGCATCAAGGGGCACAAGCCACATTTGTCTTGTTCTTTGGGGGCCTACAGTGCCCCATGGGTACAGCAAGCACCTGGGGGATTTGCTGAACCCCAGAGGTGAGGAGGGGATTTTGCTTCTCCTTTGTGCAGAGGTGAGGGCCCTGGTGGGGCCAGGAGCTGTGTGTCTAGCTGAGCTTTCCCAAAAAAGGGCAGCAAAGCAGTCTTTTTATTTCTGGTCACTCTGGCCTCCATGAAAACTGAACAAAATAGCTCCCGCCAGTCTCCAACCAGTTGTAAGAATTTGAAGGTAGAAAATGGTCCAGTGTGTAAAGGCTGGGAATCTTCTTCTCTGTCCAAATTTTCCCAGCAGTGGACCCTCCATTCACCCCACCTCTCTACAGGACCCCCCAGCATATAATCTTTGTCTCAACATCTGCAGCATCCCAGGAAAGGACACGTGGGCACACACACAGAGCCTTACACACCTCTGATCTGCCTTTGAGCTCACCTTCGTGTGCATGCCAACCATGTTGAGCTGGACATGCACACACGGCTCAGCATAGAGCTGCTAAGGTACTGAACTTGCAATCTTCCTGCCTCAGCCTCCCAGGTAACTGGAATCATAGGTATGCATTATGGTGTCCAGCTGTACTGGGCATTTTATAAATATTATCAGCCAGATTTTCACAATAATCGTTTATACAGGTTCTGTGATTATCATTTTAAAGGTGAAGAAACTGAGACATAACAAACATGAGGTTCACTCAGCCAGGAATGCAAGAACCAGGCCCATAAAGCTACATCTCTGCCCACCCCCGCTCCACTGTCCACCTCAAGGGGCACCTGGATAAGCTGTATTTCCTCATCTGCAGAATGGAAATGACAGGATAGCCCTTCTAGTACAGGAATACCCATAAGGCCCTCGAGTAGTGCACCGATTCTTTGTACACACACAGCATCACACACTCCTTAAATGCTTGCACACTCAGAGGCTGTCCCCACTTCCTAGACACATGCTGTCATTCCCCAGCTCACATCACACCCACTGGGGCACACATACGGGCACCACAGCTACCTGATACCTTTTCAGCAATGGCGGGGTTGAGGAAAGTCAGCAGCAGAGAGGGCAAGACTAGGATGATGCTGCAGGTGTGGACATGGCTGGGGATCTTCATTCTGGTTCCAGAGTTTGCCAGGCTGCCTCTGAGCCTGAGAACAAATGGGAGGCAAATTAATAACCTGCGTGTTGCTCCACCCCTGTGGGGGCAGGTTCTGGGAAATGGGGATCTGCAAGCCAAAACCTCAGGGGCCTCAGATAAGCCGGCAATGACCAATGTCCAGTGGACTTTGGTTGGGGCCAAGGGAAGGCACACTCAGGATAGAATTAGGTATTGGAGCCCCTTTTGAAAGGTCCAGAAGTTTCCCAGGCACCATGACCCCCTCCCCCTCCCCTTTTCTTGTGTGCACCCCAGGCCTAAGCTCGGTGGGATGATGGGGGACACAGGGTTGCAGGGATAACTAGGGCTAAGGGGTTATTCCACATGGCTTCTTGGGGGAAGGTGACCTTGATAGTCTTGTGGGACAGGGCAGTTGGACCCTGAAAGAATCAAGAACCCTGTGGAGGTATCTGAGGGGGCCCAGGCAGATTGGGAATATCTTATTTCTGGAGTGAGATGTGTGGGCCAGGATGTCCTCTCCTCTTCTGGGCCCAGACTGCTGTAGGTCCCATTAATCTAGCCAGAGTTCTAGGTTCAACTCCAGCACGGCCCCAAACCAGGCCTGCAACTTGACAATATATTGGGTCAGAGAGATGTATATCCTGTAAGATACACATAATGCTAGGAGTTCAATGACAGGTTGGCAAGGCACAGAAGAGCCAGCTGCCCAGAGCTGCTGGAGAAGGTGCAGGTGCGGGGGCAGGTGTGTTCAGGTGGCTTGAGATGGCAGGATGCCAGTGTCAGGGTGGTCTGATGCAGTTACAGCAGGCCAGCTGGGGTGCTGCCCAAGGGCCTGAGTAGTGTTCTTGGTGGCCTTTGCTGTTTGCCTTTAATAAAGCTGAAGTGCTGTTCTGGTAACAAATGGTAATAAAATGAACAAACATCAGGCTTCTGGATGAAGACATTCATTCCCTGGTGGTTCTGGGTTGGCCAGCTCCTGAGTCTGTGGACACGTGGGTCAAGTTACGAAAGTGTGGCCAAGTGCCAAGTCCTGGGCCTGGGAGGACAGCTCAGTGACACACCAGTCCTGAGGGTGTCCAGCTGCTGTGGGTGCCCACAGGGGGCCTTGGGGCAGTGTTTCCACCATCAGTCTTGCCTTCCTCAAAGCTGGCAGCAGCTGCCCCTGGGAGAAGGACATCATAGACTTTGGAATGAGTCTATGGCTGCAAATAAAGCTTTCTCCTTTTCTCAGCGTGGCTATGACTAGAGAAGCCCCACCTCTGTGCATGTGCATACTTCTCACACTTTTGGCTCTGGAGTATGAATGGGGTTCACAGGGGAACATATCCCCTTCTCATCTGGGGGACAAGTTTCCCCAAGGCCCCAGTGGGCAAACCCAGGCCCTGTGCCCACAGAAGGTCTGCTCCCATGGGGCACGGAGCATGGGCTTAGCCTGGAGTCAGAGCTATATAAGGAGGCCAGGCTAGCTGGGAATACGGGAAAGGGGCTGAGCAGCCAGGTCCACTCGCTGGGGGACAAGGGGAACTTCATAGAAGGTGTCAGCCTTGTGCCAGAGACTGCACACCCAAGGCCTGCCAGTCCAGCCCCAGGACAAGCTTCATCAGCCTGCTGATGGTCTGGCTGTCACAGCTGATGGACTCAAGTCTCCTGATTTGACAGCTCCATGCACATGGGACAGAGTTGTGAAGAGGGAAGGCTCACACACTGCTGAGAACCTGGTAGCATGGTGGGATGGAAAGGGGTGGGGGCTCACACTGCTGTTTGCAAGAGGAAACTCACTGCCACTGGCTAGAGAGCAGCCTTGACTTGGTTCTCTGAGGGATGTGCAAACTGTCAAGAAGGCAATGAGAATAGGGTACAGAGGGAGTGGGCTGTGAAGGCCGGGGTCCCACAAGGTCATGGTGTCCTTGGGAGCACTTCTATGGCTTTTGTGGCAGCCATGCCCCAGGCCACCACTGACTTCATTCTGAGCAGTATCACTGTGGGCCCTTCACAGAAGAGACTCCGGCTCAACTCTGTTGCATACAAGGGGAAACTGAGGCTTGGAAGAGAAGAGACTGAAGTCACAGAGTCAGTATCAAGTCTCCACATCCAACACTCTAATGTCTTACTCAGTAGCCCTAAAAGCACCTGCATTTTCCCCTGGGGCCTTCCCAAAAGCCCAGGAAGGCCACAAATATGTTTCTATGGCCCCGCCATGTCCTCTCCTCTGCAGATAGTGGCCACAACCAACCAACACCCTTCCAACACCGAGATCAATTGGGCATCTTCTTTATTGGTGTTTCCAAGGCACTGGTGTCAAAGGGACAGTGAGGGAGGGGCGGCAGTCCTGGAGACAGCAAGGAGAGGGGCACACTGTGGCATAAAAAAGAATTCGTGGGAGAGGCTCCTGTGTCCAGGGATCAGGGAGGAGAGAGGAGTGGTGAGCACTTCTCAACCAAAGACGCTCTTGGCTGGTCCGGCTTTGGGCTTCTCAAAGACAGTCTCAGTACCTGTGCGATTCCGGCTGAACACCGAGGGGGCGGCCGAGCCAGCTCGTTCTGGGGAAAGGGAGCATAGGGCACCATCAGGGCTTGGCCTAGCTTTCTCTGGAGGAGGCTCCTTGTATTGGGAGCAGCCTCTCCTTGGCCCAGGAGTTCTGGACTCTCAGAAAAGGACCCTTGACCCTCTCTCCCCACCACTGACAGACATCTGGGCCCCCAACCCCGACAACCACAGCTGACATGGAGGACACTTACCACACTCCCGCATGACCTGGTAGGTCTTAGATTTGATGTCCTGGTTCTTGGTCAGGTTTCCTCGGGCCCCCTTCAGGTCCTCTTCCTTCACAGCGGGCCGCTTCTTAATGGGGGCTTCAGGAGTGCCATCCTTTTGAAGTGCCCAGAACCCTATCTTATGACCTGTGGCCTCGAGACAGACCATTTCCCTACCTCTGAGCCTGGGCCAAGCCTTTCTTCTGGGCTTACTGGGCCCATACCTCTTCTAAGAAGCCTTCTTGACTACACCCCATCCCCCTGGGAGCCTCTCTGCCCCTTGGTCTGACCTGTATACTGCCCTCCCCCAACAGATAAAGAGCTCTCAGGGCAGCATCCTACAGCCTCACATGGGTCTACCCGCCCAGCCAAATTCAGAGTTGGGCACCATGAGCAAAGGGGAAAAGGACCACCTTTGAGGCCTCACAGCCCTAGGCAATCTGGTGAGTTCTGAAACCTGCTCACTGGCTGGCAAGAGGTCCCTGAGGGATTAACTCTTTTAGTGTGTTTCTGGGAGAGGTAGACAGCCCCAATGCCACAGTTACAGTACAGAGTTGGCATCCACCCACAGAACAGGCAGGGAGTATAATCCTCCACCTTGGCAGGCTGGCCTTCTTGCCTCTCCAGGGCTGGGACATAGACTGCGTCTGCCACACACACACAACCCCAGGCGCCTAGGAGTCTGAAGCCTTATTCCACCCTAAGCCATGGAAACAGGTGCAGGGATTCCCTCCCTCAGCCTGGGCTAGGCTCCTGTGGGCAACCCCTCCAAACTTCAGACACACTGCTGGGGAGACAGCTACAGGGACACTGAACTGTGCATCGATACACACATACTCTGCATGGCACAGAGGCCACAGCTACAATCGAATACAACTCTCTCACACACACAAATCTACAGAAGTACCACCCCTACCACCCCACCACAGAATAACCAGTCCAGCTTAACAGGGACTTAGGAAGGTAAGGTGGGACTCAGGGTGTCCTCGCTGGTTCCTGCACTTCCAGGTCTGCGGTGCCACCTATGTTTGGTGACAGGCTCAGAACAGCTGTCAGAAATAACAATGTCCAGGTATCCTCCCCCAGTACTGCTGGCTCCGACCCAGGCTGTGCTGGATCTCCTACCTGGGACATGGTGGGTGCTGGGCAAGCCGGCTCTCCGAGGGCACCTCCGGAAGGCAGTAGCAGAGGGAAGAGATCTGGGTGAAGCCTGGCTCTCTGGAGTTTATATAGCCTGCTTGCTGGTCCTGGGAAGTCACTCCCCTCCTCCAACAGGCTCCCTGATGATTCAGGTCCACACAGCTACTGGCTTCAGAGTTTATTCTTGGAGATGATAGGGGCAGTGCCCTGGGGAAAGCAGACAGCTGGGGGGACCCTGCACCCTCGGGAGCAGATGCCAGGCATGAGTGGTGACTGGCTTGTTTATGAATGTGTGTCCTGGAATGTGAGTCTGCAGGGGCCCATCTTGGTGTGGGAGGCTGTCTCTGAGGAAACAGAGGGTCCTGAGCTGGGTCAGAGGCACTGAGCTTGTTTCCTCTTCCGTCCCTTTCTCTGGATCCCAGAGGAAAGAGACTTTCCAGCCCCCAAAGGCAGCAGAGTAGAAGTTTATCTATTCCTTAGAAGCATTTGTTTCACAGACTCCAAGATGGGGTGAGCACTGGTCCTCAAGTGGAGAAAATGAGGCTGAGGCGAGTCTGGGAGCTGCTGCATCAGGTCTTTGCTCACATTTGTCCTCGATCCAGCACTGGTGCAAGGTGTGCAGAGGGATGAAGCATGGTGAAGGTAAGGGGCCTAGGAAGGATGGGCAGGGAGAGCCGGCTTGATGAGGAGGGCTCTAGGGTGAGTCTCTGAGATGGGTCACTGGGGGCGCTGGCCAGCGAACAGTGTAAGAGCCACAAGAGGGTTAGGGGACAGTGAACCCCACTCCGGCTACTGAGCTATGGGCAGAACAGGCCCACTAGCCCTCTTGGAAGGTCACTGAGTGCTTACTTCTGGAAGCTCTCACATCTTCATCTTTGCCGGGGAGAATTCCCAGGGGCATGTGGCAGGATCCTAAGTCTGGTGTGGGCATGCAGAGTGAATAGGTCCAAGCTTTTTCCATTAGATCACCAGCTCATTTTTTTTTTTTTTAAGACAGAATCTTGCTATTCAAGCCGGCCTCAAACTCATAATCCTGCCTCAGTCTCCCAAATGCTGGGATCACAGGTGTGTACCACCATACTTGCCAGCTCCTTTCCAGCTTGTTTTGGTGGTTATTTTTAGCCTTGAAGGCTCCCAACACATGGAACCCAACCAGGCTCTGACATTTGGTTATCACAAATGTCATTGCTGTCATACCTCAACCTCCACCCTCAACACTCCCTCTGGTCCCAGGATGACAATGTGAGGAATGCCAGGTTAGACGTGAGATAAATGTGGACATGGGGAATGCCTGGGACATTTAACAGGGCCAAGAGGTACAGCATGCATACCAGGATTTTTGAGGGCTTTTCTACGAGAGCCACCTCTGTGGTCCTTGAGGGTCCAACACTGCCCCCCAGCTATTTCTGTTCAGCTGAGGCCTTGGAACCAGATGTGGGATGTCCACGCCTCTATGCTACTTTCCAACACAACTCATTCCTCGGGAGGGAGATTGGGTTCAACTCACTAGCTAGGAAGTGAGAAACGCACGAGCATGCCTGCTTGCTTTTTGGGGTAGATTTCAGCTCCACTGTTGCCACGAGGTAATGTAAGTCTCCTTCTTGCTCTGCTTCCTTGGGAAAGCCTTCTAACTCACTAGGGAAAAAACTTTTTTTTGACCCCACTACACTGTCCCAATTCTAGCAAATCTACAACCAATGACCAAAAGTGGTTTCTTAAAAAACAAACAAAAGCCCCCGCCAAAACAAACAAACAAACAAACAAACAAAAAAAAACTGTAATAAGCTGTCAAACTTTATTGTAAACCATTTTACAATGAAATTATATCATCTTCCCTTTCATCTTAAGTATGTTTTTCTGTGACAACATCACTGGATGGCAGCTGAGGTGGGCAGTTTTTTCCTCATGTCCGACTTCTAGTAAACTTCATGAAAAGAAAAATCAATGTAAAACAACCGAACCAACCAACCAGCCAACCAACCTACCTGCCTATCCAGGATCTCAAGGTGCTCAAAGCTGGTCAGACCAAAAAGTTGGTCACCAAAAGTAACAACTCTTATGGCTGCCAATGTCTTACAGGGTAAAACAGAGCTCTGCCACTTAGCTGGTAGTGTGTGAAACTTCAAAGAGTCAGCTCCATACCCTAGAAGGTTGTTGCTTTGTCAGACCAGCAGGAAGCTCACAGGGCCACATTGCAGTGGCGGGGAGGATCCTGGGGCAGCCATCAGTGTGTCCCCAGGCTGAGGGGAAGTCAACTTGCATTTGAGTCTTTTTATTTTACGTGAAGAAACAGATGCCATTAACCTATGACTCCCTGTTGCCAGATAGGGCAAGAGGTAAAGTTTGAGGCAGGAGGCCACCAGCCTGCTTGAGGACTGAGGGGCCACAGACTCACAATGCACATATTCAGGGTATTCAGATTGAGAAACCACTGCCACCCATGATCTCACCACCCCTGCCATTGTCAATGTCCTATTGACAGCAAAAGGAAATAACAACAATAACCATCTCTTCCAGTTAGATGACAGTTCCTTCTCATCGGTTTATTAGTTACAAGAAACTTTTTCATAACCTTGACTTGCAAGCTTCCATCATGGTGACTTGATCAAAGTCCAGACTTGGACCAATCAGATTAACAGCACACGATATCCCTCGGTATCCCATTGCTTCTCAAGCATGGTGATGCCTGCCTTCGGCCGGTGAAGGGCTGCACCTCCTAAGGCACGTTGGAGCAGGTGGTGAGGAAACTTACCCCAGGGAAAGACAGCTCAGGAGGATGTCCTGATCACAGCCCTGCCTCTACCTGGACATGTGCATGGGACAGTGCACCACACAAGGGGACCCAGTGACTAGTGGAAGCTCTCCTGCAGCAGGTGTGTGTGTGTGCACATGTGGGTGCAGGTACAAACACTCACACGGGAAGAAGTCAAAGCCAAACACATGATGCCACACTGTCCAAGCCTGCATTCCAGGTGGCCCCTTGTGATGGGACTCTATTAGACCTCCATCCCTGCTGAGCCAGCTCCATATCTCCAGCCTCAGGGAATGCCCCGCTCTCACTGCCTCTTTGTCTTTCATTCCTACTGCTCAGTAGGAGCTGGGATGAGCTTAGGGGTAGGTCATCTGAGGTCAGCACAACGTGGAGTTCCCATTTTTCAGACTTGAGTTCCCCAACTTCTGTGCCTGGTTTGGAAACACTAGGAGCTCACAACTGAATATAAGGCTATGGGATCCAGGAAGGTGGCAGAGACAGCTCCACAGGTCGTCCAACCACTGAAATAGGAAGGCGGAAGAGAGGAGAAGAGTCACTGGTACCATTAGGGACTGACGGGCTCACCAGGAGTGTCAGTCCTGATTCTCCTAAAGGGGAGTCAGCAGAGCCCCACTGGAGAGGGGTAGGGAAAGACCACAGCTATGAGATGGGAGGTAAAGGTACAAACAAGAGCAGGAGCCCTGCAGGACTCAAGATGGACTGCACGTCTTCCTCACTGCCAGCCTCTCCTCTCTATGGTCATGACGGCCACGCTAGCTAAGTCAACTCCTACTGCACATCTAGTCCTCAGCCTCAGTGGTGTCTCTGCATTCCTAGAGGAAGACAGACTGAGAGGGCTTTCCCAGGTGTGCTCCTCTATCTAGGACAAGCAGAGCTGTGAGCAGAAGTGGGCCGTCCTATAGGCCTGGTTTAACAGCTTGGCTCAACCATCCATGCATATTCAGACCCATGATGGTTAAGTAAACACACAGGTTTAAAAAGAAGGATGCATGGAGTGGTCTTCACTGCCCCTGTCTTCCTGTCCATACTGCAGTGGGTGAGGTTTCTTTTTCCTACATGTTCATGGCTTGACAAACTCCAACATGTTGCTTCCACAGCAGGGATGTGCTGGGCTCAGCCCACTCCACCACATTCGGCAAACTCTCAGAGGGGCTTGTGGCCATGCTGAGTAGGTGCCACCATCCAAGTGGGGGACATAGCCTAGAAGCACCTGGTGCTGCTATGAATTTAGACAGGGAACTCTCTGATCTCTGCCTGCCCTGTTAGTCCACTCACAGCTTTGGAGGGTATGGGAAGAGACTCACTTGGCCAGGCGGGCGTCCTCCAGATTGCTGTGCAAATGAGCAAATGACAGCAGCTGACAGGTACCAGGGCAAAGAAAAAACACAAACAGCCCGGAAGTCTGGATTCCAAGATCTGGACACAAGATCTAACTTTAAGTCTCCTTTCTCAGCCAAAATTAACTAACACCTGTAATGTGCCAGCACAAATAGATGCCAAAGAGCTCTGAATCAGCTGCCTCCTGCTCAGGCCTGACCTTTACATACCACTGGGTTTCTGGTTCCACCTAAATGTTGACCACCCACCCCTCCTGAATCTTATCTTGACTCATCACTGAAAATTACCTAACAATATTCCAAGTAAAAACTCCCGACTTCTTCCTCCCACCAGCTTACACCCCATGAAAGGCAAACAAATCCATTTCTTTGGGGATTAAAAAGTTTTTAAATACAACAGTATGAAAATATAACTTAAAAGTATAAAAGTTGAACAGTATACGGAAGACTTAAAAATGTGTTTTGCCCACTAATCCCATAGGTATTTTGTAGGAATAAACACATACTCAAAAAACAGTAACACTGTCACAGCTCATAAAATCGGCTTTAGAAATCAAGTTACAAAAGCCATTTTGAGTAAGAAAGCATTCCAGCTCCAACTTGGTCAGCAAGTGACTTTCAGTCCCTAGCATGTCATGTGTCCACACTTCCGGCAGCCTCACTGAGAGGATCTACCCACAGTCCGTGCATACCTGTTTTCTACCATGTCACCCAGTCAGACACAGGACAGGGGCTTTGGGATCCTTCACAGCACTGTTCAGGACAACAACAAACAAACAAAGCTCTCGGCTTGCATATTTGGTCAGTGTTTGTAGTGCAACTGAGCGGGGGACCTACGGCTGCCCACAGCCAACTGGGGCACTGGTTCTTCTTCCCTCTGTTTAAGTCACGGTAGTCTGGGAGTGGGTGGAGAGGGCAGAGACAGCAGCAGGAGTGGAGGTAGAAGAGGAGGGGCAGAGAGAGAAGGAAGGGCTGATGCTGTGGGGTGACCGTCTGCTGACAAAGCAGCTGGCTGGGCTCCAAATCTGTCACCCCCAGCATTGGAATGTGTCATACAGGCAGCCCGAAGCGGTGCTTCTTTTTCTTCCCAGGTTTGAGGGGTGTCAGTCTGCGGAGGTCCTCCTCCACGTTGGACTCCTCCATCTCGTCATCAGCTGAGATCAGGATCTGAGGCAGAGGAGAGACAGGGCCTGAGACACTGCCAGCAGTGCCTTCTGCCTTTGCCTTCCCTACACCTGGGGTGCTGCAGGAGGTCCCAGTCTTGTGCCTCGTTACATAAAGGGAAACCAGCCACTGAGCTGACAGACTTGCAGTCTCTGCCGATGCTCCCCACCCTCTTCTTCCAACCTCTAGCTGGACCCAAGCCCAATCAGTTAATTCAACAACAGGGACCTGCAGCGTGAGGTTATCCTGGCAAAAAAATTGTTTAATTTGACACAGAATCCAGATCCTTGAAAATGCCTTAAATACAGCAGAAGCAAACCAAAAAGCCTCTTTCAAAAGGAAAAGAAATTGGGATATACATAGGATGGCAGGATTCAGAGGGGCTGTTTTGTCACTTTGAAAACTTTGTCACTATTGTAGGCAAATAGGAATGTTGGCTTTTCTGAGCCCCTTGAACAACTCACCATGCAGATGGGGCTTCCAGGGCAAACATACTCATCCCCTGTTCACTGCTGTGGCACCCTGGCCCCAGACCTCTGAACACCAAGGAAAGACCAGCAGAGCCTACAACAAGCTAGAGAGGCCCAGGCTCACCTGTGCAGGGAAACATGAACTCCTTCTGCTCCAGGAGCAGGGCAAATATTTACCACTTCTCCACTGGACTAATCTCTTGGGGCAGCGGTGGCAAAGCTTTTAGAAACCAGGTATGCACACTGCAACCCAAATCCCACTGTATATCACAAAGTGCCAAAGCTGCCTCTATGTGTGCTATTATCGGATGCTCATGTGTCTGCTGTGGCACATGTGCCATAAGTCCACCACTGTCTTGAGGGCTTCTGGCCTCCACCTCTGCTGCCTGAGTAAATTTCCACTGGCAACCTTGTCTGTCCAAGCATACCCAGTCACAAAGCACCTTACTTGTCTGGCTCAAACTTTGCTTGTCTTTCTATCCTTTTTTAAAAGTCATTCTATGCTATACTCTAAAATAAATGCCGCTCTGGCCACAGTGAATTTCACATTACCCAGGCACCAAAATATGACTGAACACTCATAAGCTGTTGCTTCTGTCTATAATGCTGTCTGTCACTCACCAAATGTTCACCAAGCTGATGATGTGACAAGCCCTGTGCTGTCACACACATGGAGAACATGTGGGCCCACCCTCTGTCTTGTCAAAAAATAGCTTTCAAAAATCCCTGCAGATTGCCAGGCCCTTCCAGAGTGCTCTTTGTGCCTCAATCTTAAAGTGCACTGCTCTGGGATGAGGAGCTCTCCATGCATCCACCCTCACCTGAGTCTGCACGCTGCAGCTCACACATGCGCAGTGAGCGCTGTGGGCTGCCAGCATCCAAATCCTTGCCTCTATGCTGCTGCTTGCGACCACCATCCTTCCCTGCAGCCCATATCTTTGAACTTGGGAACTGGGAAAAGAGGGGAGACGAGGCCACCACTGTGAAGTCTGCCTCCTCCTTCATTTTACAAGTTTCTAAGTAGCTGAGCCAACAACTTCCCTTACTTGATAGTGGTGGGCAGGTATTTAACACCTAATACTTGAAGGTCAACTACGAGGCCCATGAAGGTACTTGCCAGTTTCCCTGGAACAAGGCAGCTCTTCTTTGGCATCTTTTTCCACTGACAGTGGGACTGTGGAGGGCAGACCACCCTTACCTTGTGCTCCACCCTCCTGCCCTAAGAAGGCCCACCCAACAGCAGGCAGGGCCACTGGCTGGGTGGGAGCTGTGTCTTGGCTGCTCTTCAGTGCCACCTCTTCCTCTCTCTGGTTGTGTTACTCAGCACAGAGAAGACCAAATGAAAACGTGAGGCCAGAGACCTCTAGGGCCAGGACTCAAAGAGAGTCAGGGGGGTTCCTACCTCAGATTCAGACTCCTCATGGGATGCAGCCCTTCGGTAGCGGACCTTGCTCCCATTCCTGGAGTCCTGGTTTGCTCCTCTCTCTTCTCGTTTAGCTTTCGTCTTCCCTTTTCTCATGAGAAAATTGTCTACTACCCAAAACATCAACGCCTATGGGAGGAAAAGTACAGGTTACTGTGGTACAAGCCATCCTCAAGCAGAGCAGAGTGGTCTCACAACTGCCCTTCCCCACAGCCATTCTGTGCCACACATTCAGAAGTAGGAAAGAAAAACCTCACTCCTCCAATCATCTTCCAGAAGCTTTGGGAAAAATTCCCAATTTCTATTTCTCTGCTGTAGTTTTCTCATCAGAAAACAGGCAAGAAAATTCCTGGCCATTTCACCGAAGAGTTTTTCTTATAGTAAGCGACTGGTAGTTTGTTGGGCTCAGGAGCATGGTCTTTGCACACATGCTCTAAGCCATCTGCACCAGTCCCTAAGGGTGCATTCCTCAGCTTCCTGACTTCTAGCCACAGTGCTCACAAATTCCCCTGTGAGGTCTGCATGAGGAAAAATGACCTGACCTAGAATTCAGGGGAGGGATGCCTTGGTGGAAGAGGAATTGGCAGGAGGGGCAAGAGAAAATTCCCAAGACCCTTCATCTTGTACCGAGGTCCTGAGTAGGGTCCTGCCTTTTGACAAAGAAATCCTGCCATTTTCAAGTATGGGGCAGAAGTGGGGAGGTGACATCTGGTTACAAAGAAAGACCTGAGGGCTATAGGGTGAGTTTTTTGGTCAGACTTGAAACTGTGAACAGGAATGTGGAAACCAGGGCCCAAAGTAGGTGAAACACACAACACGGCACTGACGTTGACAAAGAAGGGAACGATCAGCATGACGATGGCCAGTTTCAGGTCTGGGTTTTCAATGGGATTCAATAGGGCCACCTGTGAAGAGAAGCAGAAGAAGTGAGGAAGGCACAGGGACAGTGCCCAGAAAGCCCTGAGAGAGGCCAGGCTAGGACACTCTTCCAGAGCCTGATGGGAACAGCCAGCCCTAACACCAGGCCTGAACCAATGCTGTTGTCCATGTCTGACTATTGAGCCGTTGGACTTGCCAAGTGCAGTGGACTTACAACCACTGAGCCAGACCCAAACTGTGCCCAGAGCAACTAGAAAGCCCAAGGTGGTGGGGACTGTGGGCTTTGGGGGCTTGAAGGAGTAATTCAGTGGATACTCATTAGTGACAAGAGCAGCAAGGTGCCAGATCACCTTCTACCAGAAATCCTGCAACCCAACCACTCCTTGTGAGACAACAGCTCTGAAATGTCCTGCTTTGTTTTCTTTAAAATATAGCCCAATCACAGATAAAACTAAAGGGAGGCCAAGACTGGAGGCACATGTTCTGGAAGACTGGGGCCATTTCACGTGGAGATGAGCAGTGTAGGCTTATCTATGTGGCATTAGGGTCAGAGGGCAGAGGACAGGCTGAGGAACACTGTAAACTCACCAATGTCTGCATGCTGGTGGTTACAGACCAGGAAAGCTGACTGCAGCCCCTAAATGACTCATTTAAATAAATGGCCAAGATAAGCGTATCTTGCAAACATAAAGAAATGACAGTTGCAAGGTCTGAAGCCTAATCAGTCGGTAAGCAACCCACAAGCAGAGCCTGCATTTTCATAGGTTTCTACATCCCCAGGCTTAATTTAGAGTGGACACTTATATAAATGAAGTGGATGGATGCCAAGTAAACGAATGATAAGTTGAGGCTCTTGTAAATAGCTGCCATATCAGACCAGATCCAGGGTCCACTCAGAGTTAAAACAAAATCAAAGTGGGTTTTCCAGCAGGGCTGGAGTGTGTAGGTGACAAATATCGCTTGCTTAGCTTAGCAGGGAGCTGCTACAGAGAGACAAGAGGCAAACCTTTTTCCACTGAAGTATGAGGAGTACGATGAAGACAACAGACTTTTCAAAGATCATAATCACGATGTAAAGGGCGCACTGCCCAGCCCAGGCACCACACTGCAGAGGGTCTCCTGTAGGGACAAGCGGGTACTTAGTCACACAGGCCCAGGCAACTGAGACAACACCCCCCACCCCGACTGCTCCCCACCCAGTCCTGGTAAGTCCACATAGCCCAGCCACACCATAGAACCTGGTTCTAAAGATACCTAATGAGCTCCCTAAAGCTCTAAAAATCACCTCACTCCTAACAGGGAAATGCAGTGCTTTAAGTAAAATCAGAGAATTCCTAATTTGGACATACCAGATCGTTCTTCTTTTAAGAGATTCTAAGAACTAAAAGGCACTAAAGTTAGCAAGTGCTCACTGCTGGGACTCAGAAAGGCTCTTTGTCCCCTGGCAGCAGAAGCTGTGTGAAGCAAGACTGCTATTATTATCCGTTGTTGATTTTTCCAGTAACTACGCTATCCTTCCTTTTCTCAGATGACATGATTTACAAGGCAGTAATCGACTTCCCTGTTCACTTCCCACCTTTCACCCTCCTGACCCTCATGCCACTTCCTAGCTGCTCTCATCCCTGAGAGCAGAAATCTGATTTGGGAGGAACTGAGGTTCCAGATGTCTGGTATGGGTGACCCCCAAAATGCTGGCCAGTGACAAGGAAGAGGAGAGAAGCCATCAAGGTGAGGAGGTGGGAGTGATAGGCTGAGGCCTGCAGCTGTGTAAAAGGCCCCTCAGTGACCCTACTAGGCACTATACTGGAGAAACTGAAGGGGCCACCAAGCCAGCATACTCTGTTCCTGGAGCACCCCAGAATGCTTCACAAAGGACTCAATGCAAGGTGGAGGACTGGCAGTTCTAGGGAATGATCTTGACATGCAGAACCTAGTGATGGGTCCCTGGGAGCTACGCTGGCCTCCCCAAAGAGGGAGACCAGAGAGTAGGGTATTAGGGAGGCCACCAGGGGTTGCCCCCAGCAGCTCTGTCAGGGCTGTCTGAACACCACTGGTCAGAAGGGAGCAGGGTGGAGAGGCAAAGGCTCCAATCCAGGCAGTGACAATTTGCAAAGAAGAGCAATCTCCAGCTCCTCGTTTGATTCTGGCATTTCCATGGTGGTCCTGTCCAGGCCCCTGTGCCACAGGCCCCTAGTGTTGCCTGGGCCTGCCAGTGTACATGTGGAAGTACAGGGAATGCCTTCAGGCAGTGGTAAAGGACAAAACACCAGGCTACTGTCTTTTCTGGAAAATGCTGGGAGAAGGGTGGCAGAAACATTATCAGCTGCCTCGTCTGAGGTCTTCCCATCTACTTTCACCTCTGAGGTAAGGCACTCGAGCCCAAATCAAACCTTTTCAGAAGTACCCCCCTCCTGTGAGGGTGTTAATGGAGTTTTGCAATGCTTGCAGTAAAACATCTTATCTTATTGGGAAAAATTCCCCAAAGCAGATGAAACTATTTGCTTAATTAAGTAAAACAGGATAGCCAGACAGGAAGCGCCATTGGGAAATGTCTCTGAATGGGGACCCATGTTCCCCAAAGTGGGCAAAGTGGGTAGTACTGTTTGTCTACCAGCAAAACAACACCCATGTGCTCAGTGAGCTTCCTCCACTTGCTCTTAGACTGATGAAGGTACCTTTCCTCCTATCTGCCTCACTTCTGAGGCACTGCTCACTCACTGCTGCATGACTGAGCCGTCTCTGCCTTTTGCTTTAACTAAAGTTCAAACCACAGTTCAAAGAAGAAAAAAAGCACTTGTGATCTGGCTCCAACTCATCATCTCTGATGGACCCAGACCACAATGGGAGTGCTTGTCTGTCTCCCTTGAAAGTCTCTCAAGCTCTTCCCAGAGCCAGGTGTAGTCACTGCCTGCCTTTGCACTGGACAACTCAGGTACATGAGTGTTTTGTTTTAAGGTTACAGGAATAGGGCCCAGTTGGAAAGAACAAGTTCATATTGTGAGGCTTCTGGAAGGGAGCCTTTGAGTGGAGGCATGTGGCAAAGCCCATGAAGCCCCAAGTCCGTGCGATGCAGGCCTCACTTTCAGGGAGAGGGCGACTCAGTCATCAGACTGCATGAGTGCAACCGACTTCCCAAGTCCTGTGGACTTTCTTCTAGGAACCTTGAAAGCCACCCAGAAAATACATTTCTCTTCTTCCTTTCTGACAGAAGAGAGCTTCAGGGCTGAGGTGGAGTTTCTGCCTTAAATGCATAGGCAGGCTCACAGGTATCTCAGGCAGAATAATGGTCCACATCCTAATCCCCAGAAACTGAATGTCATGTTACCCAGCACTGTGGAATAACGGCTGGCCGTGGAATTCAGCTGATCAGCTGACTTTAAGAGAGTCTCTGACCATCCAGGTGCACCCAGTGAAACTGCAGGGACATTTTAATGTGGAAGGCAGCAAAGGTCAGAGAAGCAAGGTTGGAGCAGTGCAATATGAGAAGAACCTGACCTGCTGTTGCTAGCTTTGAAGGCAGAGGAGGTGAGCCATGAGCCAAGGAATACAGCCAGCCTCGAAGAGCAACAGAATGATCTCCCCTATCACCTCCAGCAGGATCCAGCCTCACTGTCACCCTGATATTAGTTCAAGAGAGCCATATTAGATTTCTTTTTTGGTACTGGGGATTTAACTCAGGACCCTGCCCTTTCGAGGCAGGTGGTGGTAACATTGAGTTAAATACCTGTCCCATGCTGGGCTTCTTAAGGAACTATAAAGTAATTTTGTTACAGCAGTGACAGAAAACAATACAAATTGACAATGAGAAAACAGGTAGTGGAAGAGACAGTCTGGGGAGGGAGATTTGTGATGGTCCTTGACAAAGAGCAGGTGTCTCTGGAGATTCCCTGTTCCGGCTTGAAGACTCTTGTTCCCAAGGCTAGTGACAAAGATAAGGCAAGGCCAGGCCAAGTGGCACAAACACAACTGCCTCCTTTCTGTTGATTCACTCTAGGGACTGCAGACAACCTGTTTGGAACAAAGGTGCTGCGATGATTGGTGTATCAGGACCAGATGTGACCTCCACCCCAAGTAACTGAGCAGTACACAGCTGACTGTGGGATCTGCCTTAGCTCCAGCTGTGTACAGTTGAGTCAAGTGCCCTGCTTTTCTACTGGCTATAGTTCAGTTGAAAGTGCTGTTTTCTGGTTGGTTACAGTTGACTTGAGAGCTCCGCTTTCCAGATAGGATCTCAACAACAAAGGGGCAGTGGTTATAAGCAGTTTGTAGAGAAGGCTGGAGGATTTAGGTGTCCTGGTACAGATGGCAAGAGGCCCTCAGCCACATGCTGGCTGGGTATGCTTTGTGAATCACCTAATTCCTCTGGGTACCTAGTCTATAAATGAGAATAATGCTGCATTGGTTCACACATGCTGCGGGCCATCTCCATCCTGAGAGTTGAGGACTGATGACTTGGAGAGCTTCAGAAGCGTTCTCTGGAGCACAGGAGCCACAGGCTGTGTGCCGGACACTATCTTAAGTCAGTGGCTCATCAGGCATCAAGTAACAGAGCTAAGAAAAGCCCTCTCCTAAGCTCATCTCCCCTCAATGGAGACAATTATATACTTATACATACTTAAGGTTTCTAGAAATATCCAAGGCACTCAGCTAGCTTCACGAATCAGCTCCCTGTTTACTGGCAGTCCCCTGGGGATCTTCAGCCCCCTAGAAGTGAGTGGTCCTTGGGCTGAGTGATGAGCTCTTTTGGGAGGTGTGATCAAGGGGAATGGAACTCAGAATTCTGTCTGCACCCCTTCCTCTTGTCCTTTGTGTCCTTTCTTGGCAAAGGCTCCACTGCTACTGCTCCTGCCTGCAGACAGTGGGGGCCAGCTGGGAAGTTGGGAAAGAGCTGACATTACCTCAGCCCTGCCCTGAAACCCTAGAGGACAGCTTGTAGAGGCCACACCCAACTGTTTTCTCAGGCTCAAAGCCAGCAGGAAGGCAGGTTGCTACTGAAGCCCTATCTGATGAGATGGACAAGTGCACAAATCACCTGTTTTAAGCCTCTGAGTGAGGCGGGACCTTGTATCTCTGGTGACTGGTACATCCAAAACCAGGCTGGCAGGGGGAGCAAGTCAGCAGTTGGAAGAAAGCATGGTATTCTGACTTCAAATAGAATACACCACCTAGTCTTGCCTGTGTGAGCTCCCCTCTGCCAGTGGAATGGCCCAGCAACAGGATAAACACAGACATGCAACAGAAAGAGGGGCAGTACTTCGATCTCCCAAAGGAGAGTTGCCCGTTTCGCCAACACACTGGGTGAGCTCTATGGGAAGCCTGGAAGGATGAGGTAGCCTCGCAGCCCCAGTAAACAGAACTGCCAGTGCCCCAGTAGAAGGGGCAAGCATTCAGCTTCCTTCAAGTCCAGCGTGTTTCCTGGCTCCTGTTACCTCCTCTGAAAGGTGTGTTTTGGCAGTGAAGTAGGCACCTACCACCTATTGGAGGTGGCATCCAAGCCCCCTAAACAGCCCCATTCACCTTGGACAACCACCAGCTCCCAAACAACCACCCCATCTCACTCCATGTCCATGGTATGTTACCATATTCGCCAAAGCGCAGGGATTCCCACTGCTGCCACTCCACCAGGACACTGACAGCACGCACGCCCACGTAGATGAGCAGCATGCCCACGGTGGCATCCAGGAGAAAGTTGATGAGGTACCTATGAGGGAAGGGGGCAAACATCACTGAGCTAGGCCTTCAGTGAAGTGCTCACCAAGGTCAGAGTGAAGACTGATGCAGATGCAACCTGAGGGGAAGCTAACTGGCCCAGCATGTTGTCTGGCCTTGTTTTAGGGGGCTATTATTCTTAAACAAGCCCATGCCAGAGGCTGCAGAGGCTGTGGCTCTCACTTCCCAGCAAGGTGCTGATACTCAGCAAATTGAGGTGGGTGGGGTGGGAGAGGGACAAAGAAACCTTAAAAACCTCAAGTGTTCCTGCCAGGCCAAGATTCCACAGAAGACAGAGTTCCTGGAAGCAGCCAAAGAAATCAAAAGTAAACGCAAAACAAAACTTAACTGACAAGAAAAAATATCTGTCTAATAATTATGTTTGTTCCTTGATGGTCTGGCCACACAAGGCCCTGAAATAGTGCTGCTGCCCCAGGGAAGTCCAGGAAATGCTTTCAGGGTTTCTTAGACAAAGAGGGCAGGACCACATAGCCTTTGCACATCCCTGTCTGCAATCATTGCAAGCAGTACTTTCATACTAAGGAAAACTTTACTCACCAAGAAAAGGCCAGAAGACTCAAGGAAGGAGGAGGGCCAGAAGGCACACCCTCTGCAGACCACACATTCCGGGAAGGTCTGTTTCTACCTGTCTGACACAAAACTTTGGCATGCACCGAGAAAAGACCTTTTTCCCACCTGCTCTCCCTCGAGGGTCCTGTACCCAGCTCCAGTTGAACACTACTGAGCAGAGGCCCTACCTATGGCACATGGGACGCAAGGTTGGCAGTCACCCTGTGTGATAGTACATGGCTCGAAATCTGCAGGTAAGATCCAGGGTACCACAAGACCTGGCTATGGGGAGCTTCTGAGCTGTTCTACCCCAGTCATGGCTTCTGTGATACGCACAGCACTCCAGTGCCAAGGGAAACACAAAGTGTTCTGTCTCCAGGGGCCAGGAAACCAGCATGGAGAGGGATAGTTTTCTCAGCCTGCCCTTCCTCTTTAAAGTCACAAGGGGTCACTCTCAGACCAGAGATGGAGAGAAGAACACAGGCTTCCAGGGTAATCCCTGGCCCGAGGCTAGATGGCTCTCCTCACATCTAATTAGTGTCCAAGGCCCCTTACACCTGAGTTCTCACATCTGAGACCCAGTCTAAAAGTCACAGGGATGACTGATGTACAAGCATGCCTTATGTTCATCCCTTTACTCACCAATACTTATTGAGCCTACTGTGTGCTGGCTTTAGGAATACAGACCAAGTTCTAACCTCTGTCCTCAATACAGGGAAGATAGGTGGACAGCAGGGCATCATGCAGGCCTCAGAGCCAAGTACACTGGGCTTGAGTCCAGATTTACCACTCCAGAACTGTGTGAACCTCTGTGCCTTAATTCTCCAGCTGGAAAGTGGGGATCATCAAAGTTTCTACAACCCAAAAAACTCTGCCAAAAGTCTTCTAGACTTAATTGACAGATTCAGTAGAGTAGGTGGATACGAGGTCAACACTCAAAAATCAATAGCCTTTTTGTACACAAATAACAGACTCACTGAGAGAGAAATTAGGGAAACAATGCCTTTCACAATAATATCCAAAATAATGAAATATCTAGGAATCAATCTAATGAAGGACACAAAAGACCTCTACACTGAAAACTATAGCACTCTGAAAAAACAGAAGAGGATATAAGAAAATGGAAAGACATCCCTTGCTTCCTAGGTAGGAAGAATCAACATAGTGAAAATGGCCATACTTCCAAAACTGCTATACATGCAATCCCAATTGAAATCCCAACAGGATGTTTCACAAAACTTGAGAAAACAATCCAAAAGTTCATTTGGAACCAGAAGAGACCTAGAATAGGAAAAGCAATTCTAAGCAACAGAGACATGGCAGAGGGTATCATAATCCTGGACTTGAAACTATACTACAAAGCCAGTGTGACAAAAACAGCATGGTATAGGCAAAGAAACAGACCCAAGGATCAATGGAATAGATTAGAAGATGTAGAAACAACACCAGACACACTCAGCTACCTCATCCTTGACAAAGGAGCCAACCATCCTCAATGGAAGAAAGATAGCCTCTTTAGAAAATGGTGTTGGAAAAACTGGCTTTCAACTTGCCAAAGATTAAAACTAGATCCCTATCTTTCACCATGTACTAAACTAAAATCCAAGTGGATTAAAGATTGAAATATCGAAACAGAAACGCTAAATTTACTGGAAAATAAATTAGGTAGACCTCTCAAAGACACTGGCATAGGAAAAGACTTCATGAACAAATCCTTAGCAGCACGAGAACTTGCACAAAGAATCAACAACTGGGATCTGACTGAATTAAAGTTTTCGCAGTGCAAGAGAAACTACCAGCAGAGCCAAGAGACAACCTACAACATGGGAAAAAATTTTTACCAGCTGCTCCTCAGACGAAGGACTAGTATCTAGAATGTACAAAGAACTAAAACAAACAAACAAACAAAAAAAGACAGACCCCCCCCAAATACAAAGACCCGAATCACAAATGGACATCTGAAATGAACAGACATTTCTCAGACAAAGAAGTAAAAGCAGCAGATAAAAATATGAAAAAAATGTTCACCATCACTGGTCACTCAAGAGATGCAGAAGAAAACAACACTGGGATTCCATCTTACCCCAGAAAGAACGGTTGCTATCAAGAAATTAACCAAAAAACAAATTCTGGCCAGGTAGGGGGAAGAAAGAACCCTTCTCCATTGTTGGTGGGAGTGCAGACTGGTGCAACCACTGTGGAAATCAATATGGAAACCTCAAAGATAGAACTAGAATTAGAAGTCCATTTGAACCTGCTGGGTATCTTCCCAAAAGAAGTAAAAGAATCATACTACCACAGTGATATATGCGCACCCATGTTTATAGTGACACAGTTTGTAATAGCTAAAACTTGGAAATAGCCCAGTTGCCCTTCACCTGGAGACTGGATAAAAGAAGATATGGTTTTTTCCCTATAAAATGGAGTACTATTCAGGCATAAAGAATGATAAACTAGAGACATTTTTAGCTAGATGGATGCACATTGAAGCTATATTCTTAAGTGAAGTAAATAGGACACACGTGTAAATACTGAATAGTTTATCTGGTGTGAAAAACAAAGTGTAAATAAGGTTCAGATGGTATAACTGGTAGTGTGAAATAGGAAGTAAAGGTCTAAAGGAGCAGGGTAAGGAGGAGGGGAAAGGAAATAAGGGAAAGCAAAAACGAAAAAAAAAGAAAATCATGGAAACAAAGTCTTTGTAAATAAGGAAGGGTGAAGGGTGGTGAAGGGAGGGCAGGGTTATGGGGGAAAAATAAGAATCAAGACATATCACGTGAAAAAAGACATATCATGTAAAGGTACAAGATCCCAATGATAAATGTAACTACTGTTTGCTTTAAATGTACCAATAAACTTAATGGGGGGGAAAAAAGCTTCTACAGGGTAAGGCTGTTCTGCAGATAAAAGAAGGCAGGAGGTGAAGCAGGCCAGCTTCTTACGCCACTCCATCTGCTAAGAGAAGAACCATTTGGGCACTACCAGCAAGGAGGACAGGACTGATAATCAGGTGAAGATTTCAGATGGATGCTCTGGGGCCATGAAGGCATTCTGCCCTGGAGGGCAGAAAAACCCATGCTCTGAAGTCAAAGAAGTTAATGACAATTGACGACAGTCATCTGATGTCCAGTGGCTGACACCGTAGAGAAGCCCTCACCCCATGCCTTGTCCTGGGATCAGAGACTCTTGAAGGGCTTTGTCCTGCTGTGTCAAGGGTGGCTGGGAGACTTGGACATGTATATGCATGGGGCACCTGTCAAGGCCCTGCGAGCCAGCTGACAGCTGTGTAGGATTTCACACAGGAAAACAACACTGAGGGGAACACAGGAGAAATAGGGCTTCCCCCTGCAAGCTGTGGAGGTGGAACTGGTGGCAGAATGCAAGGTCAGCAACGTGTGGTGGTGCACACCTATAATCCCAGCACTTGGGAGGCTGAGGCAGGAGAATAGCTACAAGTTTGAGGCCAGCCTGGGCCACACAGTGAGTTCAAGGCCGGCCTGAATTACACAGAGAGACCCTGTAATAAAACAATGAAAACAAAATGCAGCCAGCCCACGTCCTTCATGGAGGGTGGACCACGTCTGCACTCAAATCTGGGCCACTTACAGTGAACAAGGGTCCTCTTCAGTGAGATCTGCTAGGTACACATTTGCAAAGTGGATGAACAGCATCCCTATGGCTTGTTTGGAAGTGTCTAAAAACCTGCACAAAATAGAAATAGCACTTGTTACCAGTCTTGACAAGAGGGTAATATCCAACTTAGAGAAAATGAACAGATCACAGAGATTAACCAGACCAACCCTGAGACAGAGCTTGAAAAGAACTCCCTAAACAAGGAGAGAGAGAAGGCAAGGAGGGGTCAAGAAAGAAGAGCATTTGTAAGACTCAGAGAGCATCTGTAAGACTCAGAGAGCCCCAGATCTAGGCCTTTGCCAGGTCCCTTCCTAGTGCTGAGGAGGGAGTCACCTACTTGGAAGCTAAACACCCAGATCTGAGAAAACCAACGAGCAGGGAAAATAAAAACAAGAATTATCAACATCTCGCAGCAATGTCTTTAAGAATAAGTACACACTTGAAATTGTATGAAGGGCCTTTATCACAGTGACCCATCAAAGGTTTCCTCTGAAGGGGAAAGCAGCTGTTCTGTATGGGCAAGAGAGATCAGGCAACCCACGAAGCCAGCTTCTTGCGGACACTGGCTGTCCTGAAGGGCTGGTAGTCTCCTTCCAAGTCACTGATTGTTTTGGAGTTTTGTCTTCTGAACCTATTTGTAAAGCTTTACCATCTGATCACCAAATAAGAAACTGCAACTGCAGGGTCATCCTTCAGGGAACAGATATGCTTGATTACCTATCTAATGAATACATACTTGGTCTCTGATCCTATTTCCCAAACCCTTTGTAATTTCTTCACTGACACAGGAGCTACAGCAACTTTTGTCCTAATATTTGGTTTCTAACCCCAGTTCCTGTTACAAAGCTCCTAATCCTTTGGAATGTCTGGGTGATAGCATCCTTTATTTTAATGAGGTGAGGCTTTGTGACCCGATTCAAAAATGGGTCCCAGACAGCTATAGGATAGAGGAGGTCACCAGAAAGACTGAGCTATAATCAAAAGCCCCTCTCTCCCAACATGGGAGAGGGTACAGAGGGGCTTGGGTCTGAGTTAACAATCAGTCATGACTATATGATGAAGAACCCATACAAATCCTTGAACTTCCGGGTCTGGAGAGCCTGGGGACTGGTGAACAAATCCACACATATGGAGGATGGTGCACCCTAAATCCAAGGTATAGGAGGTCCCAGGCTCAGGAACCTTCCAGACCTTCTTTTCCTACACATCTCTTCATCTGGCTGTCCATCTGTATCCTTTATAGTAAATTAGTAAATGTAAATAATGCTTCCCTGAGAGTTACGAACTGCTCTAGCAAAGTATCAGAAGGAGGAGGGTGTTGTTTATACTCCCTGCGTTGTAGCCAAGTTGGTTAGAAGTGTGGGTTCCCTGAAGACCCACTACTCATGATTAGCTTCTGAGGTGGAAGGGCATGTTTGTGGCTGAACCTCAACCTTTGGGCTGTCTGCTAACTTCACGTAGTGAGCATCAGAACTGAGTTAAATTATGAGACACTCAAGCGGTATCTGGATTGTTGGGAAACTGGTTGGTATGGGGAAAAAAAATTCCATACATTTTGTGTCAGAAGGACCGTGAATATAAAGATAGTTTTTCTTTATATTAGGACCAAGGAAGACCAGTTTTTGAACATAGAAGCATTTGTATGGTATATAATAGTCGATAATCCCCAAATCTGGATTCTTTTTTTTTGTATTTTTTTCCATTAAGTTTATTGGTACATTTCAGATATACAATAGTTAGTTACATTCATCATTGGGATCTTGTACCTTTACATGATGTATCTTAGCTCTTATTCCTTCCCAATTCCTCTGCCCTCCCTTCACCCCCTCCACCCCTCCCTATTTACAAAGACTTTGTTTCCATGATTTTCTTTTTTTTTCGTTTTTGCTTTCCCTTATTTCCTTTCCCCTCCTCCTTACCCTGCTCCTTTAGACCTTTACTTCCTATTTCACACTACCAGTTATACCATCTGAACCTTATTTACACTTTGTTTTTCACACCAGATAAACTATTCAGTATTTACACGTGTGTCCTATTTACTTCACTTAAGAATATAGCTTCAATGTGCATCCATCTAGCTAAAAATGTCTCTAGTTTATCATTCTTTATGCCTGAATAGTACTCCATTTTATAGGGAAAAAACCATATCTTCTTTTATCCAGTCTCCAGTTGAAGGGCAACTGGGCTATTTCCAAGTTTTAGCTATTACAAACTGTGTCACTATAAACATGGGTGCGCATATATCACTGTGGTAGTATGATTCTTTTACTTCTTTTGGGAAGATACCCAGCAGGTTCAAATGGACTTCTAATTCTAGTTCTTTGAGGTATTTCCATATTGATTTCCACAGTGGTTGCACCAGTCTGCACTCCCACCAACAATGGAGAAGGGTTCTTTCTTCCCCCTACCTGGCCAGAATTTGTTTTTTGGTTAATTTCTTGATAGCAACCGTTCTTTCTGGGGTAAGATGGAATCCCAGTGTTGTTTTCATCTGCATCTCTTGAATGACCAGTGATGGTGAACATTTTTTCATATTTTTATTTGCTGCTTTTACTTTGTCTGAGAGATGTATGTTGATTTCAGATACCCATTTCTGATTTGGGACTTTGTATTTGGGGAGGGGTCTGATTTTTTTTTTTTAGTTCTTTATATATTCTAGATAGCAGTCCTTTGAGGAGCAGCTGGTAAAAAATTTTTCCCATGTTGTAGGTTGTCTATTGGCTCTGTTGGTGGTTTCTCTTGCAGTTCAGAAGTTTGTTTGTTTTTTTCTCATTGAGTTTATTGGTACTTTTTTAGGTATACAGTACAGTTACATTCATCACTGGGATCTTGTACCTTTACATGACAGGTCTTGGTTCTCATTTTTTCTCCTTTATCCCTGCCCTCCCTTCACCCCCTCCTCCCTTCTCTATTTACAAATACTTTATTTCCATTTTTTCATTTTCTCATGTTCAGAAGCTTTTTAATAAGATGAGATCCCAGTTGTTGATTCTTTGTGCTAGTTCTTGTGCTGCTAAGGATTTGCTCATAAAGTCTTTTCCTATGCCAATGTCTCTGAGAGTTCTACCTAACATCTTCCAGCAAGTTAGTGTTTGTTTTAATATTTAGATCTTTAATCCACTTTGATTTTAGTTTAGTACATGGTGAAAGATAGGGGCCTAGTTTTAATCTTAACAAGCTGAAATCCAGTTTTTCTAACACCATTTATTAAAGAGGCTATCTTTCCTCCAGTGGATTCTCTTTTGCTTACACATATATACTATAGAATCCAAGAATTTAAACATAATCTAAAAACAGGGAGACAGAGACAAAGAAGCCTGAAGCAGAGAATGATGTATTTGTATTACTTTCTAGCTTCTAACATTGGAAGCAGTGTGATCATAAAATAATGGTAGCGTTCATAAGTTATCAGGAAACTAGCAGTGCTTTCATATTATACACAGTTCCTAATGACTGACTCAACTGAGTGATTCCAGACACTCTATATTATATGTAATTTCTCATATTCCATCCCCTACCCATCACAACCACCTCTCCTCAAACCTCCCCTCCAAATGCCAATGATCAAAAGCATTCTAGGAATGAGTTCATACTTCAGTACATACCATATCCTCCACGGACGTCTTTCATGCTTTGGTTCTCTGAAGCGTTTGACTGGAAGGAAAAACAGACATCAGTAGCTTTCCAAAGCAGCAACATACAACAAAATGCATATATGAGTTAAATTATCAGTCTACTCATTGTTTACATTACTAAGTTAAGATACTTTTTCTCTTCACATGTGACAATATACAATAAGCCCATGGTAGATCACAGAGATTCTAGTGCGGACTCTTCAAGACTGGATACTTAAAGTACTGACTCCTCACAACATGCAAAAAACAGTATTTTTTTCTTTGTGACAAGGCTTGCTCAGATAATTACAGGAAGCAGCAAAACAGAAAATTGCTGCTTTCAACTTTGGGACATGCTTTCTCCAAGGACAAACCTACTCTTTGGTTTACTGAATGCCTGCTCCCAAAAAGGCACCAAGGATACAAATGTAGTCAGCTACCTAGCAACTAAGGGGACAGACACATATGTAGTGTAGGAAATGCTAGAGAAGAGGCATGTCTGAAGCCAAAGATCAGGAAGGGTGGTACGATGACAGGTTTCCCTGATGGAGATGGGCAAGACCAGGCCTGAAAGCTGATGAAGTCTGACAAATGGAACAGGGATGGGAGAGAAGATACATACTGGGCAGTGCCAACACCATGAGTTCATAGGTTCAAGGGCAAAACATGAGAATCTGCTTAGTGTACTTTAATTTGGCTTCAATACAGCAAACCACAAGGGAACCTGCTGGGGAAAATGCAAGTAAAAGGGTAACAAATCAAGAAGGGACTACATGAAAGCAGGCCACATTACAGTGCTGTGACAAGGGGCCTGGAATGACTTCTGTGGAAAAGGAAGCGCTAGGGAAAAGTACTAAGCACATTCAAAGACATGCTGAATTGTTTTAGAAAAGCAGCCCAAAGACAGCAAGAAATCAACCTCTCTGAGATTTTTAACTCAGATCCTGGAATGTAACAAACTGGAGAAGAAAGGAAGGAGGGAGGTGGATCCCCAGGACCCAGGAATGATCTGGAGGGAAAATTGGAGCCCACAGGTGAAAAGACAGAAAGAGGAGGTAGCAAACTGTACTCCCTGGCTCCCAGTTTGAGAGAGGAGGCTTGAATCTACGGAGACACAGTGAGAGCAGGTGACTCCACAGGCCTCCCGGTGAAACACACCAGGGGAATGGAGCAGTGGATGCTGTGAGCTCCAAAAGCTGGTGAGCAAGTCCAGTCCAAGTGTCTGCCATGTCCCCTAGAAAGGGTGCTTGGCCATATGCTATTTCAGGGAGAGACCCATCAAACCTGTGACTGAGCAGCAGTAGGTTGGCTTCTCTCAAGAGTTCCCAGTGACTGGGTGAGGGACAACTGTTGGAAATGTCCAGGGTCCAGGAGCCAAGGTCAGGCCTGCGAGAGACACCTAGAGTGTTGTTGTAGGCTGAACAATTCAGGCCCCAACTGCACAGAGGCCAGGATCAGACTGAACTTCTGTGGAGTTGCACCAGAATCATCACCCTGTCCTATTCCTACTACAGGTTTGCTGGGATCATCCAACATGGATCCGGGCTCTGTCTCTGCGGTCTATGAGTGACTGCAGAGATACATTTTGAATTGGATGCTACCACAAAACTGTAGGCCCCAGAAATCACAGATCAGTCTTTTTCTTTCCTTTGGTTTTTTTTCCTTGTTTTTGTTTTTTTATGAGTGTGAATAGTTTTTTGTTTCGTTTTTTTTCCTTCCTTCTTTTCCTTGTCTTTACCAGTTTCCCAAAGCCTGAATAATCTTCCTTTCTCTTTAAGCCTTCTAATCACTTTCTCTTCTATTTATCTATTTTTTCCCTCTTATCCGTTTTAATTTTTCTCCAAGGGTAAAAATCACTCTATCAAGGGGATATTTACTATATATAATTTTCTGATTTTAGATTTTGTTATATAACTATAAATCTTGCACTTATAATTAAAGATGTCAAATTAACAGTTACCATAGTTTGCCATTTTCTAGACTGTGCTTGATGCTATTGTTATTATTAATTGTACTACGTTAGCCAAGGTGACACTGATCAGTTGTTCTTCTTTGTATGCCAATACTGAGATTGTCAGAGGGAGGGGTCATAAAAAATACCATAGTCCAGTACCAAGGACTGGGTGCTAGGCCAAACAGGTGGCAACCTCTCATCCTTAATAAACTGAAGAAGCAGGATTTTGGGTCAGACTCAAAAACCAAAAGCCAACTACACCTAGAAGAGATCTCTGTAAAGCAGTCATTTCCTAAAGAGGTCTTGATACTACTAATAAAGCTACCTATCATAAGCAATTTACAAGCATCAACCCAGAAAACAAATAAAAAAATAGAAAAGAGAAAACACGGAAGCAAGATGCAACTCCAGACCTCCAGCTTGTCAAAGCAAATCCAGGGGGCACTGAAGTGAAAAGAAATTAAAAGCCAGTCAGCTAAACTTTCTGAAATGGTAGCAGAAGAAGTAAAAAAGCAGATGAATGAGTCTCTAAAAAAAAGAAAAGAAAAAATAAATAATTACACAGATAACCTAAGAGATGGTTGGTCAATCTATCTAGAGCAGATATAGATTAAAAATGAGGTGCTTGGGCTGGGGATTTAGCTCAGTGGTTCTGCCACCTGCCTTGCAAGCACAAGGACCCAAGTTCGATTCCCAGGACCA